CAGAAGAGAGAGAGAGAGAGAGAGAGCGAGATGTATCAGTATTAAACGTTGAATGCAGAAAGTCCGATTTGTTGAGTATAAAATATATCATTTTGTAATGAAACCCCTGAATCCTCCCACCTCCCCCACAGAAAAATAAAGAGATGAGCGAATAATTATTCGAGCGAACTTATGCGTAGGTAAGCTGCATAAAAACTGAAAATAGTTATATTTTGCCTAATCTCTCTCTCTCTCTCAATGTTCTTATAAATCATATATTTTACGAAAAACATATTCTAGTTCATCGTGAAATGTGCTAAACTTCGATTCGCCCAAATATTGTAGCAGTTGTGAAATAATGTAATGGTAAAAAAAAAATGTTTGTAAAAAAACGGATTGGTAAAGTTACATTTAAAACGTGTCTTCAAGTAAAAATAAGGAATACGATAGGCATTCAAAGGGTGTAGAAAGCAGCAATCATTTCGTGTGTTCGAAGGGAGGTATCGGGGAAGGGGGTGTTGGGCTGTTGGCTATTATATCTCCTCCTGACTCCAACTTCAAATGTATCAATTTATATAATTTGTATCTCACACATGCCTTCACATTTCCTTAGTCACTTTTAGATTTTAGTTGAGTAAAAACTATATACAATCTATTGACCTTGGTCTTTTCTCTCTGGAACCTGCCCCCAAAGGACGCCTAGTTGGGGCACATCAAGAACAGGTGCCTTGCTTTCGAAGAACTTCAGGGACCCAACCCTGGTACACTGACGCCTTGCATTCATATCAGAAGGAATCTGTTGGTCGATCCCATGAAGGAGGCGCTTTGCCCAATCCCTGTATTGAAGAACCACTTCCTTCGGGTCACTACTGTCCAAGAGTTTTTCAGCACATCCGATTTCATCAGAGACATTTGAAATTGCTTCCTCGACAGGTACCAAGATGTTGTCTACGGCCCCGTTGAGATCACTTCGATTCGATTCGACCCTTGTCATGAAATTCTCCTTCCTACGATTGATCATATCAGTAAGAAGTTTTAAGCACGTACTGGAAGATGTTTGAATTGCTTCCGAGATGTCGTCTAGTCGCTTATTCCCTTCCACTTTTTTCTTCGTATAGTCCATAAAGAATTTTTCATGAGACGCCATCCAGATCGTTGCTTTACTCATCAATTTGACCATTCCATCCACCTTTGCTTTCGAAGCATCTTCCACATTTTTAATCAAAAATGTATGCTTGCCGTGACTACGAAGAGCGCATTCACTGCAAATTAGTACAGCGCATTTCTCACAGAAGAATTTCTTTTCTGCACCGTGCTCCTTACAAGGTTCTTTTGTTGATTCAGAATCCTCATGGCGTTTTAGTTCTTCGATAATCTTGTTGGCCAGCAGATTTGGTCTCAGGGTTTCGGCTTTACCTCGATCATAGTTTGTTTCCCTACGGCATACCGGACATACTACACAATCTATGACCCCTGAGACGTAGTCATATTTAAAGCCTGAGACTCTGTCAATGCAGCTCTCACAAAAGGTATGCAAGCATTTGAGGCATTTCGCATTTTCGAATCTACGGTAGCAGATCGCACATTCCAGGTGAGCCGATATGGCTCCTACAATACTCTCAGCCATGGTTATGTTTTGGTAAACGAAATTCCGGTTTCTAAAGTGTCACATGTATAGCTCTTATTGAATCTTGATAATCGTGAAACCAGTCATGTCTTGTTGGTAACTCCAAACATGACAAATAGTTGTCATACGTGTACAGTACTTCCAAAATTGTCACAGCTACTAGCCACACCTACTTTATACTATTGGCAATAATAGAGACGCGGGAATTCCCCACCGTCATCACTGAACGTATACATACGTATTGTCAGAGTTCAGTGAGCGATATCACATATTGGATGCGGCAACGCCCTCTACGTTTTATGTGAGTTATAGCAATGAGGGAATTCCAAGATTCATTTTCTTCTATTCTGTCTCGACACCTCATACATAACATAGAATTGACATGTCTTTTCGATATAATTTTCCCTTCCTATTTACACCAGACCAAAGTACGTCGTTCGTACTGTCGAATCAGCCGAAACTGTAGTCCAGATCATTACCCAAACTAATATTAGGCACACTCCCGTTTGGAAAGATATTGCGGAACCCAATCGAATGATGTTAGAAGATGAACATGTGTTTCAACTTCCAAGTATAGACAAGAGCTAACCCTTGCATAGTAATTCACAGAGATTTTGATATAGAATGTCGATACAATACGATAGGGTAAGGAGTATTCTGAAATACATGAATAACCTAAATATTACATTCCACTGCCGAGAAGCTAGGATTGTTTGAGTATGGGGGAGGAGGAAGGGGAAGGGCGTGGATGGCGCTAAATACCTCTATATTTAAAACAAATCGATTGAGATTTATGTGTAGCTGTAAACTTGAGAACGACAAAAACAATAACAAATTAATGTTTAAAAAAAACAATTGCTCCCATTCCAAAGAAAAAAAGACTAAGCATCCTCCAAAATGTACCTTGGGATACATGAATGTGAAAAGTCTTTAAAAGGCTGAGGATAAGATCAGCTACGTAGATGTGAATGTTTAATCATGGTTGTCATCATGGTAGGGTTTGTGGTCAAATGCATAAAACAACGCCCCTATTACTTTAATTATAAAACGATCTATATCATGTATGTGGTGAAATGATTAAATCTATGATGAGACGTTTGCTATTATTAAAGGATGCATGCCTCCTAAATTTTGGGGCAGTTTATCCCCTCAATTAAATTGTACACATAATTGGGACACCACATATCCCTTTCACGGATGTGAAGTACCTAATAACGATCTAATGAAAATTCGATACTTAAAAACCCAAGCAAAACGAACTAACAAACATAAATTCAATTCATTCAATTCATTTTCAATTAAAGGAACGGTTTGGTAGACAATATGTTTTGCAGTGATATGAAAAATAAAAAATAATATTTAAATTCAGATTACATTGTAAAAAGTTGTGATCTGTTCAGTAGACTTTTGTAGGATCAACAGAGGGCAGCTTAGTATGTGAGTATGTTATGTATAAGGTTTGTATTAACGTGAATATGAGAATAATTTTTACTATCAGCTTTTCTTTTGGTCGTGTTGAACATTCACAAATGGAAGGGGTCATCAAAAAATAAAGAAGACAATTATAAGGAAAATACCTTGCTCGGAAAAAACTGGTCTATGATTTGGCAAGCTCATTCCATCGACGCTTATATTATTGGTAATTAAATATAAAGAAGTCGAGCAAAACATTCAAACAAGTTCAGTGTACATTCAATGTACATTATTTTATTATATATTACCGTGTTGCAACCAATCATAAAGTCATAATCATATACAAAAATAATGTTCATAATTACATCAAAGTTACAACATTCAATTTCACTTTCTTCTTATATAAACTTAGATAAGGAAAGACAGAACGATTGGATCAGGAGTAAAAAAAAAAAACGAGTCTTTCATTATATTATTAAGCATCGAAGTGAGAAAAAAAATCGTTTGTTTTGGAATAAAAGAAATATACATAACCTTTGGCATAAGCTTATCTGAAAGAAATTCATACCATCAATATTGAATATCCTTGTAAAGAATGATTATACAAATTGACTTTTCACATTCCATGTACTTGAGACATTAGGTGCATGGGTCATGCTCGGTGGCACAGGGTAATCGATGCTGGACATGGTACCTAATGTAAGGCCAGTATCCCCGAATAGCAGGAATAATGAGAGAAATTCATCACGGAGATGCTGCTGATTAGACTGATTTTAACTCATTAAAGAAAATATGGAAGAGGATGCGTTACATCGAGGTCTTTCTTGGAGTGTTTGTAAACACAATTAGCTAGATTATGCTTCTTCTTTTTTCTTTCAAAATATAAATTTTATAATCGTCCTTGTCTTTCTCCATTAAAACAAAAGCCTGGATTCCTTATGTATGCTGATAAATTGGCCGTTATTGATCCACAAAATATATCGTATAAAAAGAAACATATTTTCGCTTGTTCGTTTTATTTAGGTTATTTTGCATCCTGAATAATAGTGATATTTGTTTTTTGGAAAACAATTTTGCCTATATACGATTCGAAAATGAAAGTTCCTACCCTAGCTTTTGTCTTCATAACGAACGTTTCAGATGTATATCAAGAAGGGCCACTAATTGTTCAAAAGTAATATTTACCGTTACAGCAATAATGATTGCTAACAGTAAAAGTAATAATAGTAGTAATAGGTATAGTAATAGTAACAGTAAAAGTAGCCTACTATATATTAGGTGTAATAGTATAAAAGAAGAAAGAGATTAAAACAATGCTATTTAAGATTCAAGATTCAAGATTCAAGATTTTATTGTCCATAATATAATACAGAAATTTGTTTTCCATTGGTATAACATGTAATACATAAAACATAAGACAAAAATATGGTGTCGTGTGCTGAAAGCCAGAGGGGCGTCAAGACTCTATAAGAAAAAGTATGTGAGCAGGTACGGTTCTCCGGCTTTCAGCACAAAACATGACAAGATAGTTATATGACTTATACATAGCAAGAATTTTATATACAATTCTGAATCACATCATGAATAAATTCAGGTATGAATATAGATGTGAATATGAGCAGCATCACAATCGAAATACGAGCAGAAAGATAAAGGAATTTAGTATTCTAAAGGTGTAAACGTTATACTCTTCCCTGCATATCAGTACTGCTTGCCTTAGTGTGACTTTTTACATTAGATCATTATCATGCTTGTATGTTTCCAGCACATTCTTTCACTAGGGACAGTCATACTTTTAATTGAGACCAAGTTAGACAGGTGCGAATAGTTGAAATTCCAGTGGCCAAAATACAAATGGTTATTTCCTCCATAGCATAATCTGATAATTTCCAGGGAGAAAAAGAATACAAATAAGCTAAGTGAAAATCCACAGGATTATCTATAGTTACACTGCTGGATATTACAGTATTTTGTCATGGTATTACATTTCGCGGATGAACCAGCCAACTTCGTTCGGTGATAGGACAGCAGCAAAGCAGTTTGTTGATGCAGCAATACCCCAAGGCTCAAACTCTGGAGCCGCGGAGTCATTCGGCAGGTAAGTATCCACAATGCGATCACCATTCTCCCCATACACCTCGAGGAAAGCCCTTTTGGTACCCTGGATGTCCTGATGAGATATCATCCACATGTTGCCTTCTTGATCGCAGGATACTTTATCAGTCTCTCGGATAGGTATCTTCCGATACATACCGCCTTCATTGGAGCAGGCTATCAGGAATCCATCGTTCTGCACTATGACGATCTTTCCTCTCGTTGTCGATCTCATCCTCAACACCACGTTGAATTCGACGCAGTTGATGGGGATGACATCCATAGGTTCCCCTCCATCTGAAGAAAACCTCACGACCCTTGCGACTCCTGAGTACAGCAGCAAGACATTGTCGTGGATATCCGTAGCGATAGCATCTGCGGATTCGTCGTCGTCTTCCCTCGTCGCAAACTCGACCTGTTGGCTTTCACCTCCTTTCCCGTAGATCTTCACCGTGTTCCTTTTGGTCAAAGTGACGAACCGGCCATCGGACAGTGCAGCCATGTCTCTGGCCGAGATGTTGGTTGAACGGCCACGGATTCTGAAGCAACTACCGTCTGGACTCAGGACCTCCATGTGACCATCTCGATAACGAACCAAGATGCTGCCATTCGTGTAGGGTGTCATCAGCTTTATTCTGCCGCATACCTGGACACGTAGCGTGAGAAGAAGTCTTTGCGTTGGGCGTTGCAGAAGGGGCATTTCTGTATCTACAGAAGAGAGAGAGAGAGAAAGAGAGAGAGAGAGAGAGAGAGAGATGTATCAGTATTGAACGTCACGGTTGAATGCAGGAAATCGATTTATTGAATATAAAAGTATATATATATATTTCCTTTCCGGAGTATGGTATTCGTGAAAAAGATGTATGTTTTAACAAAAGGCCAATTAATATTTATTCATATCGACTTATGTAAGCGATTGAGATCTGGTCAAAATCTGGTCAAAAAATGTATTCCATGAAACCCCTGAATCCCCCCCCCCAAAAAAAAAAAAAAGAGAAGAGATGAGCGATAAATTTGACGAGCGAACCTACGCGTAGGTACGCTGCATATAAACTGAAAATAGTTATATTTCTCCTACACTCTTTCTCAATGTTCGTACGAATTATATATTTCAAGTAGAGCATTATGCTAGTGAATCATGAAATGTGTTATTTTTCGATTCGCCTAAATATTGTAGCAGGTGTGAAATAAGCTAAGGGTAAAAATAATTTTTAACAAAAAAGGAATACGATATGCATTAAAAAGGGTGTAGATAGCAACAAAAATCTTTCGTTGTCTGAGGGGACGGATCGGGGAAGGGGAGGGGAGGAGGGGGGGGGGGCTATTCTATCTCCGCTTGACTCTACCCACAAATATATGGATTGATTTGCTTTATAGTTCGCACATGCCTACACATTTCCCTAGTCACTTTCAGGATTTGATTGATGAAAATGATATACTGACCTTGGTCTTTTCTTTCTGGAACCTGTCCCCAAAGGACGCCTAACTGGGGCACATCAAGAACAGGTGCCTTGCTTTCAAAGAACTTCAGAGACCCAACCCTGGTACACTGACGCCTTCCCAATAAACAGAACACTAAAAAGTAACCTCTTTTGGGAGTGTATTTTAAGTGATTTTAAAGTATAGTGCCTTTTGAACTAGATTTAAACGTTATCGACACGTGCCTTCATTTAAACAAAAAAGGTACTCCTGTTCACGTTTTCATCTAACCTAAAAACCACCAGTGTATCACGCGACTGGAGTAACGTGATTCCACTTACCTCTGTAAATCAGGTGTTTATGACCAAATAACCACTTGACCAAGCAACGAGTTTTTTGTCAGTTAACCGATGGTGGCGATAAATACGTAATTATTTGGTCTTGTAAGCACCTTTATTGATTGGTTTCACAGGTTATCCAAGGTTGATGGTAATAATCACGTTACTTACACCGGCTAATCGTCTTATTGTTCTGTCCGTGAATCTCTGGTTATATTCAACTAGTAATTTTGAGGTGTCTTACACACCTCTTTAAAAGGTTTCAAAGTTACCATAAATTTCTTGGTTATGATCACGTGGCTCAAGCTGATTACTAATCTAAACTGTGAAAACGTGATATGTAGGTGTGAAAATTAGTAATTATTAAGTGTTTTAAAACACCTTTTTAAATGGTAGTCAAAGTTGCCATAAGTTTCGCGGTGATGATCTCGTGACTCAAATGGATTATTGATCTAAGCTGGTCATACGTGACTTTTAGGTGTGAAAAATTAGTCATTATTAGGTGTCTTAAAACACCTATTTAAATGGAAGTCAAAGTTGCCATAAGTTCCGCGGTGATGATCTCGTGACTCAAACGGATTATTAATCTAAGCTGGGCATACGTGACTTTTAGGTTTGAAAAATTAGTCATGATTAGGTGTCTTAAAACCCCTATTTAAATCATAGTCAAAGTTGCCAGCAGTTCCGCGGTGATGATCGCGTGACTCAAACGGATTGTTAATATAAGCTGGGCATTCCGTGTTTTCCATGTGTGAAAATGAGTTATTCTTGGGTGTCTCGATGGTTTCACAGTTACCATTTAAGTTCCGTGGTGATAATCCCGTGACTGTTGGCATATTTCTATGTTCACCAGTTGATAACTGACTGTTGGCATATTTTCATTGCACCAGTTGATAACTGGAGTGTGCATATTTCCAGTTGCACCAGTTGATGACTGAGCGTTGGCATATTTCGAGTTGACCCAGCTGACACCAATTCATTTGCATATTGAATATGGGGTGCGTGCAGATCTATGTTTTTTAAACAATTTATCCGAATTTACAGTATATTTCTTAATTACTGATGATTTAATTATATGCAATTCATTTCGAAAACACTACAAATATAAATTACCAGTTATTAGGACATTTCGCTACTTCGTATAAATTACATTTAGTTAAACATGAATAAGGGAAACATTAACTGTGAACTAAAATAATTTCAATAAAGTACAAGTATACGAAATTTGTTCGATTAATTCAATTATGTAAGTCTACTTATTACCAATGCCCTTACATTGGAAATACAGACGTACCAGTATTGAAGTATTGTTGCTGTTCAACTGGTTGGAAGTTTTACGAAATGGTTCTCATGGCTCAGCTAGACCAGTTGAATTATAACTGGTCTGGATCAACTGGATCATTTAGCCCATTTCAATTTCCAGGGTTACCAGTTGGCATTAAATGGTTCATCAACTGGACCAGTTGCAACTAGCTTTCTCTTCTGGGATGTTTGCACCCACCCATCCCCCCCCCCCCCCACCCAACCCCTTCTAATCCCAAACTGCTTCCGGCGCGCCTGGACGTAATTATGGAAGATCCAAGACACGATGTTCAGAAACGGGATGAGAACGTCATTATTTTGGTTCATTTATTGTGTAACATTTGCGTAATTATTGGGTTGAACGCTGGTAACAGTAACATACTTCCTCTTCGACGTAAATTTCACGTGAATGAAGAACATGATTCATCTCAAGTCAGCCTCGTAATATTCACGTGAATTTCACGCAGATATTTTGACTAAAACTATCACTAACGCTTCACGTGTTTCTGTGACGCGATAATTTCTTGTATGAAGATGTAATTTCATAACCAAACAAACACGGGAGTATTAGGTTTACAAACCATGGTCTCCAAGGTAGGGATAATCACGTTATTATAATGGTGATATTGCAGTGACAATTGCGTGATTTAGTGTACGTGTGTTTTAAGTTACCTAATGCAATAAACGTATTAACACATTTACGTTAATGTCCGGTGTTTGAAGAACGTAACTCTCCTCAAGTCGATACCTTGATATTGACGTGATTTTCACGTGATTTTGTTTATTGGGTTGCATCCATATCAGAAGGAATCTGTTGGTCAATCCCACGAAGGAGGCGCTTTGCCCAATCCCTGTATTGAAGAACCACTTCCTTCGGGTCACTACTGTCTAAGAGTTCTTCAGCACATTCGATTTCATCAGAGACATCTGAAATTGCTTCCACCACAGGCCCCAAGATGTTGTCTACGGCCTCGTTGAGATCACTTCGATTGGATTCGACCTTTGTCATGAGATTTTCCTTCTTACGATTGATCATATCAATAAGAAGTTTTAAGCACGTACTGGAAGATGTTTGAATTGCTTCTGAGATGTCGTCTAGTCGCTTATTCCCTTCCACTTTTTTCTTCGTATAGTCCATAAAGAATTCTTGATGAGACGCCATCCACATCGTTGCTTTACTCATCAATTTGACCATTCCATCTACCTTTGCTTTCGAAGCATCTTCCACATTTTTAATCAAAAATGTATGCTTGCCGTGGGTACAAAGAGCGCATTCACTGCAAATTAGTACACCACATTTCTCACAGAAGAATTTCTTTTCTGCACCGTGCTCCTTACAAAGTTCTTTTGTTGATTCAGAATCCTCATGGCGTTTAAGTTCTTCGATAAGCTTGTTGGCCAGCAGATTTGGTCTCAGGGTTTCGGCTTTACCTTGATCATAGTTTGTTTCTTCACGGCATATCGGGCATCGAACACAATTTTCTGTCAGGTAAAGATCGTCTGAGTCTGAGTCTACGGCTGTATCTATGACACTGTTAATGCAGCTCTCACAAAAGGTATGCAAGCATTCGAGGCATTTCGCATTTTCGAATCTACGGTAGCAGATCGCACAATCCAGATGACTCGATATGGCTCCTACAATACTCTCGGCCATGGTTATATTTTTGGCAAACGAAATTCTGGTCTCTAAAGTATCACGTGTATAGCTCTTGAATCTTAATATTCGTATTCAAACTAGTCATGTCTTGTTGGTAACTCCAAACACGACAAATAGTTGTTATAAGTGTACGGTACCTCCAAAATGTCACAGCTACCAATCAGGCCTACTGTATACCTTGCTATTGGCAATACTAGAGACATGGGAATTCCCCCATCGACATCCATGATTGGATGCAGCAATGCGAGCTATAGCAATGAAGACATTTCCAGACTCATTGTCTTCTAAGACACCCCATGCACAACATAGAATAGACATGTCTCTTCCTACTTACACCGGGCCGAAGTCGTTCGTACTGTCAAATCAGCCGAAAATGTAGTTCAGATTCTTACCAAAAACAACATTAGGCACACTTCCGTTTTGAAGGATATTGCGAAACCCAATTGAATGAGGTTGCAAGGTGAACATGTATTGCAAGTTCCAAGTATAGACAATAGCTAAACCTTGCATAATAATTTACAGAAAAATTGATTTAAAATGTGGATAAAATATTGGTATTGGATATTTATTGGTATTTGGGTCGGCCCTTAATAAAAGGAAATTGTATGTGTATATATATATAAATGTAAATATATATATATATATGGAATATGAGTCATAAAAGAGGTATCCTCTCATGACATCAGCACTTCGTAGACATTCTTCGAGCAATTATTCATCATCAGAAAGGCCCAGAGGAATATATATATATATATCTATATTTTATATATATGTATATATATATATATATATATATATATATATATATAATAGAGAGAGATAGAGTATGTGTGTGTGGGGGTGCGTGTGTTTGTGTGTATGCGAGAGAGAGAGAGAGAGAGAGAGAGAGAGAGGGGGTTGCTGCTTGTGCGCATAGTAGAGTTTTAACAAAGCAGCGATGTTGAGAAGAAAATGTTTAAATTAATGTAGTTTTGCCCCCCCCCCCATCTCCAAGGTGATCATGACAATACATGTAGATCGACCCTCTTATAATCGTGATAATAAAGGGTACTACATGTTGCAAAGATGGTGATATATCAAATGAATATTCATCGAATGAAAAATCGGTGAATATTTATCAGTTTTATTTATATCCTACAATAAATTCTCCACCCTGCTTATGCAGGTGTAATGTCGAAATCACCATACGCTCTAATTTGGAGTACATATTTGGAGGAGCTTCTCACATTACTACGCACTATTGGATTGTTTATTTTCTTCTTCATAAATCATAATAATTTTCGTAGAATGATATATTTGTCCTTTAAATGTTTTGTTAATTCGAGCCGTACGTGAGAGAGGGAATCAGCGGAAGTCTCTAGCAGGCGAACCCGAGTTTCTTGCTCCGTTACCGTTACCTCAAGATTAGTCATATTTCAGTGTTGAGAAAATTAAAGGAATTATTAGTCATTTCAAAGGGTATAGAAAACAGCTCGGATAACCAACAGATCAATCAATGAATGAGATATCCATACCCGTAAATAACATTTGTATAGATGTAAGCCGATTTTCGTTATTCAGTCGTGTGTTCGTAAACTTAAAAAGTAACTTTAATATGGCATATGCGTATCAAAAATTTCAGATTTTAAATTCTGCCGATGCGTCAATTTAAGAAGCTCATATTATTCATCAAAAAAGTTATTAGATGATATCTAAATGATACCAAATCATAATTTTCTGGCAGATCAGATTTTTTTAGAAAATCCAGTACCTTTTGAAAAGATATATTCAATGAAAATTAACCCCAAGTTTCCGACACTACAAACGTGTCGACTTAATAAATGATTCACTAAATTATAATTTCATACAATTAATTACATATCAAGTTGTTGTGTTTCATGATCTCCTTTTCCACAGGGATGTATATGGTTTATTAAAGGATTCACTAAATTATAATTTCATACAATTTATTACATATCAAGTTGTTGAGTTTCATGATCTCCTTTTCCACAGGGATGTATATGGTTTATTCGATATATATTCAATATGAAAGGCTCTCTGTATATACAGCCCAGAACAAAGTGTTTTGTATTACTGTATCCTATTGCAATGTATTAGCTCTATTGCGCATGCGCGTGGACCTATGTTGTATCAATTCTTATTCCCGGAGGCAATACACATTTAAGAAATGAGAAGTATTAATTGAGTACACTTAATGATAAGGACACGAACGTCTTCTTAAATTAGGGGGAATTCTTAAAAGCAAAGGCACATCGTTATGATAATTTAGACAGTCTGTATCTATGTGAGCAGCAAAGCGCTGATAATGTGAAAGGAAAATAGGCAATCCAAGAGACGTGGGGTGACGAGTTCACATCAAAACTTCGCCACGTCGAGAAGAGTCATTCTTTCGTTCGTAACAGAGCAAGTAACTTCTCTGTGTAAGGTGGGAATGAAAAGGAACAAACATATTTAGAGTTCGGAAGCAGCGAAGTAGCAGTCGTGCTATCGTTGACAGACCTTGATGTGGTGAGCAAAGGAAAGTCGTTAATTTACGCAATCAACAATTGGACCATCTTCTGTAGGTCTTCAAACGACTGGCACTTCATTCTGTTGTTTGTTGGGATATCACTACGCTCGTGTCGATTATGAGCTCTGCTTAGATGTCAGAGTTTGGTTTGGTTGCGTCGGTCATCGTTCTTCGGTGCTGAGTATACGCTCTTCAGGAAGATTACCTCGCACTTTATTTTCAGGATGGCATGCAATCAGTAATTGTGAATAACGACAAGCAAGTCAAATGGAATATATCATATTTTGAAATCAGTGCAGAATATCTGTAATAGGTGTCTGTGACCTCGAATTGAAGTTTCCACCCGCCTTGCACGCATTTTTGAGTTTTGAGTTTTAATTTGGACAGTGTGAGGGATTCTTTTTCAGTCAATATGAGCAGCAAGAAACGTCCAGTTTCGAGGACCAGCAGTAGTAGCGTAACGGATGCTTTGTTTCCTGGTGTCAATCTGGAACAAGCGGAAAAGGATGCCGTGCTCAAGGAAGGCACCATCGACAAGGAATCCTCAAGCCTCTTTTATCCTTGGAGACCCAAATTCTGCGTCCTCACCCCAGAGAACCTAACCATCTTCCGCTGGCATTCCAAGAAAAAATCATCCCAGGAGAGGGTGCGGAATATTCTCTATCGGATGCCCCTGGATGATGTTACAGCCATCGCCAACATAGCCAAGGGGAAGAAGCACATCCACTTCACAATGGTGACGAAAGACGGCACTCTAGATCTACGCGTGGGACTGAACAATCGCGAGTGGCTCACACAGATACAGATGGCGGTTTTGGCTCGGAAAAATCGACGTGACTTCGTGAAGGAGCTGAAGACAAGGTCGTCTGTTGTAGCCAATAAGTTCAAGAGGAAAGCGTTAAGACGGAGATCATTCACTAAAGATCTGGAGTATGGAGACGGTAAGATATCGAGGTTGTTTGAAAAAGATTCTACCCCCTAAAACCCCCAAACCTAGACAGAAATATCTTTGATGAATCTTAAAAACAAGTATACACATCCATAGTCTTGACAGAACCCAATGACATGTCCTAAGCAACCCCTATATCGATCAGTTTGTGCATATGGAGAAGAAGAACAAATGTCCATAAACACATACAAATAAAAACCGAGATCTCCCAAAGAAAAAAAAGAATCATGGTTAGTGTTAGGATCGGGTCCATGGTTAATGTTTAGGACTTTGGTTAGTGTGGGAAATGTTGTAGTATCATGATTGTGTCGTAGAACTAACTCAGTTCTTATACCATTCCTACCCAAAGACACTCGACACCCGGCTCTTATGACCGACAATAACCTCTATCAAGAAAGGTCTGTATACCCCAACCCCACCCTACCCTCGGGCCCGACAAGCAGAAAAAGTTACGCATACACTTATATATCTTGGAAAAGATGCAGTAAAACATACTGCCTAATGTCGCATTCATTAAATGACATCCCTTTAATGAAAGTCGGAAATAGGTCTGTTGACACGAATTACCCTTTGGGATAATCAAGCCTGGCACAGACGTGTCGGTGAGACGTGTGATTAACATGAACTTAACGAATAGATAATACAATGTTATAAGTGCTACAAGTCTCTGTCTAATAGCCTAGTTGGTCAATAAAAACAGCAAAGGCTCACATAAATAGTTGCACGTGCCTAAGTTATAATGAAAATCGACTTTGCTTTCGAAATGAATATGGTCAATTGCTACAAAATGTTCAAATTATTAAAAATGAATACTGTTCAGAATTGTTGGTGTTTGAAAGTGTTTTTTACATATTCAAAATAGGGCTCTTGCATAATCATGATAGCTTATAAGGCACTTATTCATTCAAAACTATAAAGAAAGTACTACTGCAGAACATATCTTTGTAACACATATTGGAGGTCTTCTTCATACTTATCACAATTTTTCCCCATTCTACTAATTACCTTTATCGTAGAAATATTCAACACTCAAATAATAGCTAATACATGTACGTATACACAATCATACAGTTGTACATTTAGATGGCAGTCAGATGGCAGTATAATTTCTTCTGAATTATTTTCAAGAAAAATATAGCAAATTTTGACTAAATCATAATTTTATACACCCATAATCAGAGAAAATTGAAACTGTATACACATGATATCGTTAGTTAACTACTTCATCGCCAGTCCTACATTTATATCAGTCATGTTGTATTTGGGATTCGAGATGTTTGCTCAATAGGTATATTAATATCTCTCCGACGATGTCATTGTCAAGTGTTTTTCACTGCCTCCTTGTAAATCGCATTTGATTACTCTAAGGGAAGTTATGATTAAAAACCTGTCCTTAATAATTTGCTCGTGACTATTATTTGGCGAACAGTATTCCTGCGGAGTAATAAACCGATGACAGAGTGTCATTTTAACGTCCCCAGTCCCATGTGCATCGAAAAGGTGTAGGGGAAAGAAAAGGATTATGCGTCCTCCAAGATGCACCTTGGCCTATAAGAATGTGAAAAGCCTATACTGAGGATAAGATAAGCTACGTAGATGTGATGGATGAGTTATATCCCTGGTTTAATCCTGCTTGTCAATATGGTAAGGTCCATGGTCAAATGCATAAAACAACGCCCATATTACTTTAATTGATAAACGATCAGATCATCTATATCATGTATGTGGTGAAATAATTAAATCTATTAAGAGACGTTTGTCATTTTTTAAAGGATGCGTGCCTACTTGGTCACATTATTTACTTGACAACTGTGGGGGCAATTTATCCCCTCAATTTTTTATTCAAAAAATGAAATGATAATGCGCACATAGTTTGGACGCCCTCCGATCATGCTTGTGAACTACTAAGACGATAAAATAAATGTTGGTACTCTATCGGGGACCTACAGTATATACCTACGAAAGACCCAAACTTAACCATATAACAAACTTCAATTTATTTAATTCAAATAAATTCAATTAAAATAATAGTATAATAGACACCATGTTTTCCAACAATAAGCTTAATTAACCTTGTACACACAAGATTGTTTTGATAACTTTAACATTCAGATTACCTGTAGCTGTATTACAAATTGGTTGAAAAATGTTGCTAAATTACAAGTAAATTACAAAGCCTTATGTCAACAAACTTTATGAAGGGATTTTAATTGACTGTATACCACTAACATAATATTCACATAGGTAAAATAGTTTTGTTTATTCTCTGTATCATAAAGTTAGTTGATCATAATATGAATATGATACAAAACTTTTAATCGATGTTATGTTCCTCTTGTCCACAGGATGTTTCTTTTAAACCAATATGAATTACTTCCACATTTGCACAATGTTCTACACCTGGTAACAGATTGACAAAGCTTTAATTGGATTATTCTTTTCCTGCTGTTATATGGAGTGAACCCCCATTTCTCCAATGTAGATTTAGAGTCTAGTGCTCGTTTATGCATTAGGAAAAACAATGTGCAAAGAGTTTTGATGATAAATAATATTGCATTTGAAAAAGACTAAATTCATCTGAAAGAGAGAGAGAAAGAGAGAGAGAGAGACACACACACACACACAAATGTTTAGTCATGACAATAACAGAGCGCAGCTATGACATCGTACAAGATTTGATATACAGAATTTAGAACAATCTTATCATCCCATTCGAGAGACCCTTTCAAGACACTCCTTAAACTTATCTTTTGAGGTAATCTTCTTGATATCAGTAAATTTATGCTTCTTCTTCCTTTTCTTCGTCTTCTTCTCCTTTCTCTCTCTCTCTCTCTCGCTTTATTTCGCTCTATTTCTCTCTCTCATCTATCTTAAATTCTTTCCGGCGCCTACATGGAAACGTTGCATGAAGTGCTTAATGTTATGAACTAAGAGTTTTAAAACATGGCTGTCTTTCAACCAAACGAGTTAGCCATCAACAAATGAGGCAAAACTTCGGTTATTGATATTCATAATCGAAATATTTCATGAGGTTGAATAATTAAGTCGTATATTGCATGAATTTCTTAAATTATTTATCAAATATATAATACAATACGTAACCATGTAGGAGAGCACATTAAATTGACAACTGGTTCTTAATTATCATAATGCCCATATACCACAGCTTGTCGCCTGAATGATCAGTGTCAATTACAACTAGACTAATCACGGATATACAACAACAAATATGATTGATATAGACGACAGGGCTGCAAAGCGGGTTTTAAACTTTTCGCAACAATTATGGCACATTCTGCTTCTTTAATACGGGATCAGATCCAATTACATTATTTTCGAAAACCGATCCTCATTATAAGCAATCGTTGAACAAGGAATGACATGACTTTTAAGGGCTTCGAGTGGTTCTCGTGTTTCAAGAGGGTTGGAGTCGGCGCGTGTCTCATACATGCAGGCCTACAAGTGTGTCCCCATTTAACATTTGTTATTAATAGAACGACACGTAGAAGACAAAGGAATTAACCCCTAATCTTGCGACCTCGCTTATGATGCATCATAACTCTCGAAAGGGGTAAAGGGAGAGCGTATTGCGGTATAACATCGAAGGGGTGTGTAGATTTTACACTTTCGGGGGTTCTGATCAAGGGAGTTTGTTTCCTATTTATCATATTCATTATATGAAATTTATCATGCATAGGCCTAAGCTAGATTAGGTGTGATATATCAAATATATATACATGTATTTGCCATTTTGCGATGTATTATAGAGGATTATAACGTGCTGCGTAATCAAGTTGATGAAGATGTCTTTTAATTTCTGAACTTTGCCTCATTTCATATTTTCCTTGTTTGGGGGGCCTGGTATATCAAGAATATATAAATGCCAAGGAATAGTAAACTAGAAACAAAATGCACTATGCTTATCATTACAATCATAATTGTTATAATAATAATTATTGTAATCATTATCATTATTATTATCATTGTTATTGATATTGATATTATTATTATTATTATTATTATTATTATCACCATCATCATTACAATCTTATATTATACCTAACAATAAATAACCTGTTATAGGAACTGAGCTTTCCCAGTTAATTATTAGTCGAAGGCAATACTTCAATAACCACCGCCGTTCGTATTTTCCATTATCATGTTTAGATTGTGTAGTCATTCGTCCTTCTCAGTTCTTTTTACGATATACATATATCAAATACAAAGTAATATTAGAAACGAGCGCCCTTAAACACATACATGCGAACAAATTCTTTAAAAAAGTTTTTGAGCAGTTGCGTGAAGCGACGATCTTACGCACCTCAATAATTATATCTTGAGATATATTTAACGTGAACCCCTACCCCTAAATCTTTTTATTTTTTTATTTATCCCATTCCCATCTTTCTTTCATTATTTCGTTTCTGCTCAACACTGCCGATACCTGTCACTACTTCCCAAAATATGAGTCATCATTTTGTTAACTTTCTGTGGATTGAGGAGAGGGAGAGAGGGAGAGAGAGAGGAAGAGAGACAGAGATAAATAATGGGGGGTCAACGAAATTTTGAGTCCTCGATTCTTATAAAAAAAACGGCAGAAGACAATGATATAAATAACATTCAAGTCCCCTGCCCCCCCCCCCCCCGAAAAAAGGGCTAAGATAGAATGACGATGCCAGTTTTTTCTAGACGTTTCGAATATTTTGTTATGAAAGGAAGAGACAACAGAGTTCACCGTCTGTGCATGCAGACAACGGAAGAAATAGAAGGCAAATAACATAAAATGGCTAGACCGGAAATTGAATGTTATATATACTTTTTTTCTATGCATTTGTTACTACTTCACCAACTGAACATGACTAAATGCGTCTATTCGAGTTCACCTAGTACGTAGTGACTAATGCAAATTGGAGATTATGAATCTGCAAATTAAGAGATATGTATTACACGAGTGAATTATACATGAGATTTAGAATTGGATATCAATGTCTTTTTCGACACGTACTGGCTCCTGTCGTGGTTGTGGAGGTCAACAAACTTTTCTACCAACATGATAAATTCAGACAAAGCAAATAATGGTACTTTCATATTTTATGGACGCGCTGCATGCTCAGTCAAAATGAAAGTTTGATTCAAAGTACTCGGCGTTAAATTAATTGGGACAGTTGCTTCCAGGAGAAGTGATTTGATAACCCTTAGATTGTCCTTTTACAACGTTTTGAATGACTTTATCATTAAATGTCAATCAATTATAATACATATTTTCTCTCGATTTATTTTCGGATCTCCTACTGTTTGTTCAAATATGACGGATTCCACAAAAGTGTTCGGCACTTCTTATTGAAAGTTTGAGCCTTTATTTAAAATGATATTACCAGTAAACGTTTTTAGAGCATGGATGCATGTTATTGACATTGTATTTGTCTCACATTAAAACACGGTCTATAAATCAGAAATAGGGTGGATAAACATTCTGACTTATTCCGAATATGATTAAATAGAGTTAATCAACACATGATTGCATAACAAAACACAGTTGGATCCAGGGTTTGAAACAGTATAGCCCAAATGAAATTAAACAAAACAAAACACAAGAGAGACCCAAAGGCCCAGTTCTAGAACCGCTTCACAGTAAGACAGATTTGTTATTATTATTATCATCATCATCATCATCGTCATCATAATCATAATCGTCTTAATCATATTCATAATCGTCATCCTTATAATCATTCCTAGTATCATTATCACTATATTATCAACATGAATATTTTCTTTTACAGGTATAGGAATAACAATCAAGAACGAGGGAGAATGCATTGTCGTTGCTAGACTCTTCTCAGACGGGCCAGCGGCTAAGAAAGGAACTCTCAAAATCGGTAGGTCTTTAAACAAGTATGCATAAATTGCATATTTCCTCATTATTTGGTTATTCCATTAGATTTGCGGTTGTACGCAGTATAACATGCTACATAAATTCTGTCTGCACTATGTAAACTGTTTTGCTCGAGTGTCCTGCAGTTTTATAAATTTATAACGATTGCCAGAGCTAAAGCCGGGGTAATACTTAATGAAAATGCATAAATAACCCCATATAATGAAACGGATCCCTTTTAATAATGAAATAATTCTATAAGCCATACTATTAAAATGATATTTAAGCAGTTAAAAATGGAGACATTGTGACTTCTAATCCTTCTAGCTAGACACCGTGCCAACAACAGATTTTGTCCTTTAAATACAATATTCGCCCTGGAAAAATTCCAAATTGATCGTTTTCATGTGATTCTAAAAAACATTTATATAGGCCTGTACATATAAGCTTATCTTTGGAATTTCTAGTTATGAACAAATTTAGTGCGTAAGATAAAATGTATTCACAATTGAATGAATTAGCCATAACACGAGAAATTTAACGGCGGTAGATAAATACCAAGTAAATAATTGGGGATTTATAAGTTCTTCCCAAACGAAGGAAATAATGTTTTACTCGAAGAGTTGTTTTTTTTCAACAATATATTCCGCTCAAATTGTCTAAATTATTTTGACATGAAAAAAAAGAAGAAAATTTATGATTTGTTTCCTTCCTTTATTCCATTTGTTTTTTGTTTTGTAGGTGATGAGATCATTGAGGTGAATGGCCGAGATGTACATGGTTACCATGCAGAGAAGGTGGCATCTGTTATCAAGCAACAGACTGACAAAGTCATCCTCATGATCAAATCTTCCCAGTAAGACACTTATTTTATCTTCTTTTTTCCGTAAAAGAATAGATGACTTTTGTTATTGACACTGTGTCATTAGTTAAAAAAGTTATTGACAATTTGTTTTTGTGATTTCGAAAAGTCAATTTCGAATACTCGCATTTTAAAACTTCATTTGGGTATTACCGTCTTCCGCTTTCTTCTTATTGCTTCATATATCACTAAACATAGGCTAGATGATTACACTGAACCTTGATATTTTTTGTATATTTAGAAGGGTAATGGTATTGTTGATGCCAGACAACGATAAGAACACTAGATTTGTATACGTCATGAATGTTTACGCAATATCAATCGATTTCATGTATGTCTCTTTCTCATGTTAGTGGGAAGATCTCGGTAGGAACACAGAGCGAGTACCGGCACACGATATGCGGCGATGCACTGAAAAGGCCACGACCACTCAGCATCGTCACGGGGTCGGCAATGGCCAGTGAGTAGCTAGAATTTAGATGATGATGATGATGATGATGATGATGATGATGATGATGATATAATGATGATAACGATGATGATGATGATGATGATGACGACGATCATGAAGATTATGATGAAAATGATGATGACGAGGAGGAGGAGGAGGATGAGGATGAGGATGATGATGATGATGATGATGACGATCATGAAGATGATGATGAAAATGATGATAATGATTTTGGTGGTGGTGGTGATGATGTTGTCGGTGATCGGTGGTTGTTGTGATGCCATTGATGATGATGATGGTGATGATGAGGAGGAGGAGGATGAGGATGATGATGGTGATGATAGTTACGAAAATCTGCCAGGGTAATAATAATAATAAGGGTAATAATAATAATAAGGGTTACTGTGCTGCCGCTTTAGTATACCATGCTAGAGAGGACACTGTTGTATAAGATAACGGACATAAACGGACAAAGTACACACAGGCACACATATAATTATAATATTTATTAAAATAATATTTTCTGCATAATATATAGCGCTTAATACATCGGCAATGTCCGCGTTTCTAAGCGCTTTATACAGACATCGGATGCTGGCATGCCTGCGCACAATGTAAGCACTTTATCCACTCCCTAGGGAGCATTCCAGCAAGAGCTATAGGCTCAAATTGCTAAGTATACTATATTAGCTTTCGCATCCTACCGGGTACCTATTTAACACATGGGTGGAGAGTGGCAAATGTAGATCAGTGACCAAAGGACATTGGTACCGCGGACCTTGTGATCGACAGTCCGGTGACGTATTCACTCGATCACTACACCCTCTACTTCTTTAATTTATCATATTCTTATTTTTAAGTTTGGGAAGTCAAAATGGCGCTCTTTTTCTTGTAGGATTTCCTCTCTTTTTCCGGCCACCTGTCGCTTGCTTTATTTTAGACCGAGGTAGCTAGATGATTCACCGTGCGGTTTAGATCTTACTGACTCCTAACCATAATTTCATACTGCACCTTCATGTAGAAATATGATCAGCATTTTCATGGGAAAATGACTTGTCACGGCTGTTAATGTGGTGAAGAGTGGTGTAGCATGGGGGTAAGCAATTTCGGGGGGGGGGGAGGCTAGGTTTCTGTTTTATAAAGCTTAATTTTGAAATATTTCGACATATTAATCGCAAGTAACCCGGTGATAAATAACAGGATTTCAATCGCCTAGCTCTTATTATAGAGTTGCGATTATATCAAGTTGAAGTTTAGTTGCGATGGATTTTGGATCAACGAGGCCTCTGATCTTATGAAATGGATGGAAGGGTGGAGTGTGTGGATGGGGGTGGGGGTCGTGTCATATTTTCTCATATTCCTTCTCCCACCCCCAACCCCCCCCCCCCTTTCTCTCTTTCACCATGCCACTCGTTTTCCGATTCTGTTGGGGCGGGGAATGTAGCCCCACTTTCTTCAGTTTGTTGTTAATGCAGATGGCGTGTGCGTGTGGTTCGGTTGCGGTATGTTTGTGAGGAACGTGAAGAGTCCTGTAAAGAGGTGATTGGGTGGGGAAAAGGTGAGAGGGTTGAATAGTGCCTTAATTTATGCGTATGTTAAAGACATTTAATCAAGGGGAAATAGGGATCCTGAGTGAGCCATAATTCTGTTCCCGGTAAATCCATCCTTCCTAGTTCCCTCCTAGCATGTACCCCCATTTCCTCTCCTGGGCTGAAAGTGACAAATGTGAATTAATGTTTTGCCTAAAAACAGAAATGCCGTGCCGGAGTTCGAACCAACGATCTTCGCATATCCTAGACAAGTATTTGAATCACTTGACTACGACACTTCTATACAAATAGGAGTAAGGGTGAGGAGGAGGAGAAGAAGAAGAACAAGAAAAAGAAGAACAAGAAGAAGAAGGAGAAGAAGAAGACGAAGAAAAAGAGGAAGAAGGAGAAGAAGAAGAAGAAGAAGAAGAAGAAGAAGAAGAAGAAGAAGAGAGGAAGAAGAAGAAGAAGAAGAAGAAGAAGAAGAAGAAGAAGAAGAAGAAATAGAAGAGGAAGGAGGAGGAGACACCAACAAGTCCAACATGTCAATGATGACGAAAGAACAATTAACTTTACAAATACTTATATATGCCACATGAAACCTCCCCCCTGAAAACGTGCTCCAATTCATGTGAAGTGAATAGAACATGCCAGATTTCAATCAGCAGTGGAGAACACTGCTTAAATTAGAGCTACTCAAACCAATATGTTAGGGGTGCGATAAGCATTGAGTAAGTGAAGTGGATTAGGAGAGAATGTCATACTTGTAACGTGAAAGTGCGGTGAAATTGCCCACCAATGCATCATAAATTTGCTTACTCAATTTTCGAGGACAATGATATTTTTTGTGAACAAAAAGCATATAGAATTATTATTCATACCGTTACTAAGTTTTGTAAATGAAAGTATGTGAAAAAATGATTTGTCCTGATTTATGTTTCTCGAGAATGTCACAGAATTATTAAAGCCAGCACCTAAAAATATTCAACAAAGGCCCTAATTCAACCTGTCCGTCTTTCATTCTTGAGCTAATAAAAACACAAAAACATCCAATTTACAAGGGGTATGAATAATTTAGTTGTTAGCTGTACATACATTTACTATTATTTCTTTGGTGTCTGTTGACTATTAGTTTGTCCGGTACTTGGTATTGTATGAATATAATTATTGTTCGACCTCTTACGATTTTATTTACTTAGAATAACTTTTACATATTTTCTTTTGAAATAGAGATTCATTTCCAGAACTCTAGATAATCTTTGAGGATGCTGTTCTGATTCTTCTTACTTGCTACGTATAGCTACATGTTGAACAATGCTTTCGAACTTTTGTTTACCCTCTTGATTATGAAATATACATAATATAATTACCCGCAAGAGGAAATCAAATTAACTTCTTTTCCGGGAAGTCAACTTTCAGACGCGTGTCTAGGAATCATGAGCCAAGCTGGCCAGTTATTATTCGACTCGCTTCACAATTCAAAGCAGTTCATTCTGCTTCAGAAAGTTTATGTGAATGATATTGATTTTATTTTAACATTTTACCTAGATATTATCAACAAACATAGCTTAATTAGTCAAGATAAAAGGGAGGTGTTTAAGAAACAGAAATAGTTTCAAACTTGCGAAAATTACAAAACGTGAAAGATTGATGAAGTTTCCTGGGGATTGAATATTTCACAATCAAGATATCTGTGTTAGGGCTTTAAAACAATTAATACTATCATTACAATTACGCCTGATAATCCATCATTCATCGATATACCCGTTTTTCTTAGCAGATACGTGGAAACCTATTCTGATTTCGGATTAAACTTAGAATGGAGCTATTCGTTAAACACGACTTTAAAAATGATTGATTCTACAGACATTTTCAGTAGTCGTGTTTGACTTAAACTCCAATCAAAGTTTAATGTAATAACTACAAGAAACGGTCTAATATAACGGTGCTAGATACAAAACATTTCTTACCCGTTACTTCAGAACGATACCATATATGTTCACTCATCCGTGACATCTATCCATATATTTACAACTATTCACAACTGTAATGTTTATAACTTTAGCTATCGTTTACACGCATCCGTTCTAAATAATCCTGATAATTCTTGGTCTCCCCAAAATCATACCTCTCTTCACTAAGTCGCTTTTGGAACAGTTCCCTGCATGGCACACTTTTAAAACATTGTTTAACGATGTAATGTGATGACAAATGCGTCTGGGGAATTGAATGTGACTACTGCATTTTATGTAAGATTTACAAAATGATAAAAAAATTGCCCAACCCACCCCAAACGCCCCCAGAATGATGTACGAAAATTGCTCCAAAAGAAGCAAAAGTTTGACCTCGTTAAAGCGCAAGCTTAAAACTTTAAGAGAAGAAAATATTTTACCTTCTTTCATTGAGAACCAAATATAAATGTAGATGTATTGGAACTTAAATTATGAGGGAAATGAGAGTGGAATTTACATCCCCTATCAAAACAATGTAGGATCCTTTGCTTGGAGTTGTGAGTAGTTGGGTTGCATAAAGTTTAGTGTTTTGCTTTGGTTTTGTGTTTGTTTGCTTTTTATTTATTCTTATTCTGAATTCTATTGATCTTCTTTCATTGTTATTATTTTTGTTTTTATTTCTTATTAGTTTAAACAAAATATATTAAGGGGAGAAAGGGTTCATGTGCCGGTCAGAAAAGGAACGAATTTAATTTCTTCAAGGAAGTGGGGTCGTGGGGACAAACAGGTTTATAACCACTCAACTGTTTCTTTTCTTTGCAATCGTTGATCTTATTTTCTTAGTCACCTTCTGACATGTGCTTCCTTTCCATGGCATGCTATTGTTTTATCACATTTTCCCCCAGAAAACAAAGGAAACCACACGCGATTATTCTACACGCTCATGATCAACAGTCCCAAGGCAGAAAACTGTTGATTAATGTTGACATTTATTGATACAGTCATACTTTCATTAAAGGATGAAAGTAACGGCGAGAATACGATAATACATTCGCATCCCACCTTTATGTACATGTATAGGTACAGGATAAAAGGGTTAATTGGGAGGGGAGCAGTTACCCCTTATATAAATTGAAACAAACTATGTACCCTATGAAGTGCGTTTTCCAATCTTCCGATTCTTGCCCCCTCCTCCCCCCCCCCCCCGGGTGGATTTACAACTCATTACTCACCGCTGAAGGAAATTTAAATAGAAATAAGGATGTTGACATGTTATTAGAAAGGAAAGAAAATTACTCTTAATTACACAACCCACTATGTGTATGTGGAAAAAAAGCTTGTTAGTTGATATCCTCATTCCAGTGCAAGGCGTTCGTTAGGTAATTATTTTGTGAGTTTGTAGGGACACCGTTTTAGACACAATGCATAATGTTTTTGTATGCTTTATACCTGTTTATTTGTCGGTTTGTATGTTGTTGTTATTTTTGTTCTTTCTTTTCTTACTGGTACACTTTGTATGAACAACATTCCCACCCCATGATCATGAATATGGACACGTTGGCTTAGGGCATTGTCATGTTGTTTATTGTTGAAAGGCTGATGCTGGATCTTCATGTATATCTTCTCACTTCCCGTGTATTGGGGATGACCGCGTCCATATTGCTCCGGGAACGGAACTATCTATCAATCCATATATCCTCTTCAACCGTTATTCCTTCTCATCATATGGTCATGATAAAAGGGTCGAAGATAGCGGAAGGATTGGAAGGATGATGACGAAGGGGGTGGGGCGGCGGCGGTATTATGACATTCGTTTTCGACGGGTATGTCATTACTGGAGACTCAATAGACCAGCAAAAATATATTTTGGACAAATGGTGAATTTTGGTGAATGTGACTCTGTGCAATTTTGAGACCTGTTGCTGGAAATTGTTTCTTAAACTTGCCACTTTTGTTTCGAGAAATTTCAGTAAACTATTATGTATCGTATGTATTCAGATTCAGATTAATTTTATTATATCATATTCGGATTATGTAATAAGCCATCGTACTGGCCGTGCATTTCTTAAGGTGATGGACAATGCTGTTCAAGTTGACTTATCGGATTTTTGTTCTGTTTTGTTAAAGGTAAAGACCAGTATTGGAAACGCCCCAATTTCAAAAAATGAAATGGAAGCTCTCATTACCAATCATGTGAAAGAATATGTTTTGACTAATACATGATGATACAAAATTTGCCGGGAAACCGCCTACTAATTCATATATTTCGTAAATTTGTTTCTCTCATGGTCTGTGAGAGATATAGGGTAGTCCCATATACATCTTTCTGTGTATAGTGCTTGTAACTTTACGAAGAATGGGCCAAATTTCTTATCATTTTGATGATTCCAGAACCTTGCAGATGCTAGATGCTAGATGATCAACCTTTTCTGATCGATTCCACAACGTTTCTTTCACAATGCAATCGCATGACCATAACTGGTCTTTACCTTTAACGTTTGGATCTCAAAGTGAATAATCATTGATAATGTTCTAAGTCTAAATCCAAAATGTCCAGTGTAAATTCATTTGCTAATTATTGATTTTGAGATAATCACTAGACTATTTGAGAACGTTAAGGTTCAGAGAACTTCATATTAAACCCTAGTAAATGGACCTGTGTATGTGCGCCCCTTTAATGACCCCTTTGGCAAACTCTTTGCTCGATTGTCTAGAAGTAGAGTTGATCAATAGTTGTGTTTACACGACAGGAGGTAAACTTTAATTTAGGCCCATGATTTTAAGCTACGAGTCCTTCTTGTAGTAAAGGACCCTACGAACGTACTAATTGTTTCGGAAAGTTAAGGTTTACTCGAAGTTTTAAACCACAATAGATCTTATGGTTGGTGTGATAACTACAAGCTGCGGGGTTCTCACTCGAAGTTAATGTGCCAGACCGACACAGTTTTACAATTCAAGCATTATTGTCTCGATGTCGTGTAAACCCGCGTCGTTCTTTAAAAGTTTCGAGAGCTTTTTCGTTATTGTTTCAAACTACTCCGCTACCGTGCGAACATCGGCAGTCTCTGTGATTTTGGTCGATGAGTCATTAATCCGTTTCTCATGCATGCTTCGGAAACCCGCTCCATTGCAAGACGTAGACAGCTGATGGACGAGTTTGAACATTTGGGATTTTCCGAATTAACAAGCACGGATATAATTAAAGACGGTGGCGGTCATGGATCCGACTTTCGCTGTTCCCCCTACTGCTTCCTACACCTATGACAAGATGAGCGTCACAAGACGCGGTGAAAATGGGGGATACACCATCTTCGTTCACAATTACTTGATTGCTTTGTCCTCTCTAAATTATTATTATTATTATTGTTTGAAATTGTATCAACCCCTGTAGATAAATATTGAAATTTAGAATTGATAAACCCGTGTTGGCATTTTCATTTTTATTCCATTTATTTATTCATTTATATTGTTCATTATTATTACTTATTTAAAAAAATAATATCATAATAATTATTGTTGTTATTGATATATTTATTTCTCAAGTTTATTATCATTATTATTATTTGTTTGGGGGGAGGAGGATTTTGATTGTTATGATCTTTTGACTGTTCCATTATCATCCCTAAATCGCCAGCAAATTCAGATCGAACATCCCCCCACCCATCCCATCAGCACTTTATAGCGACGCCCCTCTTTTCTGATACTGAAGGTTTGGATACGCAACAAACAGTATATCTTTTCAAAATGAACGAATTTTTGTTCATTTTTCCTCAAAATTTCATCAAGCTGAGTCCTTGATTTTACTTTCACATCTCCACACACGACCACCCACATATCTGACTTATCGATCTCTGTTCTACACACGCTCTCCAGTCTCTTCACTCAATTATCATTTGATCATAAAGGTATGGCGGTCACTCTAGACAAATAATTAAAACAAATGAAAACAAGATATGCAAATGTACTATACAATTTAATATGTACCACTGAATACAAATAAATAAATACGACTGTGTACAAATCTATTATTATTACAAAGATAAATTTATCTTCTTTATCACAGCTTAATAAGGATAAATTTATCTTCGTTTAACAGCCAAACGAGGATAAATTTATCTTCGTTTAACAGCCAAACGAGGATAAATTTATCTTCGTTTAACAGCCAAACGAGGATAAATTTATCTTCGTTTAACAGCCAAACGAGGATAAATTTATCTTCGTTTAACAGCCAAACGAGGATAAATTTATCTTCGTTTAACAGCCAAACGAGGATAAATTTATCTTCGTTTAACCGCCAAACGAGGATAAATTTATCTTCGTTTAACCGCCAAACGAGGATAAATTTATCTTCGTTTAACCGCCAAACGAGGATAAATTTATCTTCGTTTAACCGCCAAACGAGGATAAATTTATCTTCGTTTAACCGCCAAACGAGGATAAATTTATCTTCGTTTAACCGCCAAACGAGGATAAATTTATCTTCGTTTAACAGCCAAACGAGGATAAATTTATCTTCGTTTAACAGCCAAACGAGGATAAATTTATCTTCGTTTAACAGCCAAACGAGGATAAATTTATCTTCGTTTAACAGCCAAACGAGGATAAATTTATCTTCGTTTAACAGCCAAACGAGGATAAATTTATCTTCGTTTAACAGCCAAACGAGGATAAATTTATCTTCGTTTAACAGCCAAACGAGGATAAATTTATCTTCGTTTAACCGCCAAACGAGGATAAATTTATCTTCGTTTAACCGCCAAACGAGGATAAATTTATCTTCGTTTAACCGCCAAACGAGGATAAATTTATCTTCGTTTAACCGCCAAACGAGGATAAATTTATCTTCGTTTAACAGCCAAACGAGGATAAATTTATCTTCGTTTAACAGCCAAACGAGGATAAATTTATCTTCGTTTAACAGCCAAACGAGGATAAATTTATCTTCGTTTAACAGCCAAACGAGGATAAATTTATCTTCGTTTAACAGCCAAACGAGGATAAATTTATCTTCGTTTAACAGCCAAACGAGGATAAATTTATCTTCGTTTAACAGCCAAACGAGGATAAATTTATCTTCGTTTAACAGCTAAATGAGGATAAATTTATCTTTGTTAACAGTTCAATGAGGAAAAATTTATCTTTGTGGACACAGTTCAATGAGGATGAATTTATTTTCATCTAACAGCTATTTTAGTCAAGAAACATTGTTTTATAGCTAAATGAATATATTGACCCTGAGAGGGAGCTATACAACATAAAGAAATTATTATTTACAATTTCACAACTTTAGACTCGATTTTAACCAGGAAAACGATCACTGAATATTGAAGGATCGCATATGCTTCCAATATGTTCATTTGAACCAAATTCATGACTCCATACCAAAACGTTGTATTACCTTTAAAGGTACTATGTCCCATTTGCAGGCCAAAAAAAATGAAAAGGTTAAATTCCAAGGGCATTTGAAAGATAATACTAAGGTAGAGCTTAAAAATGTCTTCAAGTTGGAAAATAATGACTATTAGTTGTCAAATCGACTTAGGAGCTATAGAGCCAATAAGTAATAGTCTTGATTTTCAGACCATTGTACTGAATGGTCATACGTTTTATTCTGTGCAAAGATTCAATTAGTTTAATTTTGGCCATCACAAGAAGTGGGTTATTGATGTAGACAAATGCTCATGTACCCTTTACAGCTCATTTCATGTATGTTATTATCAAAGAAGAAAAAAAGCCAGTCAGTCACTCGATAGTGTCTGACAGTGAAGTCTAGCAAGTAAACAGGTTTCCTTGCATATAATTTGAATATTAGGACACTGCTACCATTTAAATTTCACAGATAGGACATACATGACATATTCATAATTCCTGCAAAATTCTACAGAATTTGAGGTTCGCTGCAAAAGGGAAAAAATACCTTTTAACTGTGTTAACAAAGATGAATTTATCCTCATTTGGTTTTACACGTGTATGTGTGCAGGCTGTGTGACCGGTTTTATTCTTTTGGACAGGACAAATATTATATTTCGCCTCTCATTCATTTGTTCAATATTCAACTTGAGGAGGAAAAAACTTCTCATTACCTTAGTTTTGCTTTTGTCTTGCCACTGACCAGCTGAAAACAAGGAACTCTAACAAACCATTTTCAAAGGACTACCAAAATTGGCATTGGGCTTTAACAAAAGCTGCATTTCTGCTTTTGAGCTTTGGTGCTGGTAAAAAATGCTAACAATTCCCTGGACTGCAAGAAGAACAAATGAAAGCGTCAGCTTATAGACCTTGTCAATCGCCAGGCCCTTTGGGTACTTTGGGCGTATTGCCAGGTGGTAGGCCAATTTTTTACAGAAGGTTATATTGCAGGGTCAATTGAAGTGTCAAGAAAGAGTGGAAGACCAAAGGCCAGAAGGATAGATCGTATAAAACCTTTACTTAATTTTCCATTACCCACTATGTACAGAATAGCGAGAGATAGAGACAAATCGTGAAAGTCACGACCCGTCAGTCGTGACAGTTAACATATGTACCTACCTAGGCTTAATACACAAGTTAGCAGGTTTCATAAGCCAGTGGGTTACATAAACATGAGCTTGCTTCACCAAGCATGAAATAACCAAATATATGAAGGGAAGTGTAAGTTGTTCCTGTCAGATTTTAGTGTACACCACAATCAAACTTAGCATCATCTTTGAGTACTTGGTGAATATTCATATAGGCCTAATGAACATTGAGGACTCCTCAATCCTCTCTCTCTCACATGATGCACCCGCAAGCCTACTGTAGAACAAAATACTGTTCTCCTTTCTCCTTCAAGTGACGCTGAATTTCCACCGGTAATTTGTTGGCTTTAGTAAGGTTGAAGGGTGCAGTTAAGACATCTTGAAGAGAGACTTCTCCTGTGTAAGGCTGATCCCTTCGTCCCTGCACTGATGTGGTGAGTGATGTCCACACGGATGTTTCTGATCCCGAGTACCAATGCAGTTTCACATGGTCTCCAGTTATGTCCAACACTTGGCCCACTTGTGGCCATTCGTTTCTAAACTCTTCTAAGTAGACCCCAACCATATCTCCCAGTTTTAATACTGGCTGTAGAGGCCTCTTCCTTTTAGGACCTAGCTGGACCTGAAATATTACAATGGGGAGCAGAAATAATCTAGTTAGCACAAGAGCAATTGAATTGAAGGACTTTTACGTAGGAGATATGAATACCATACTGATACAAATTATGACTATGATTCATGCCTATGGTGGGTATGCAGGTGTTAAATGTCAAGTGAAAACTTAAAAGACTTTTTGTATCCTAAGACATTGGTAGAAGTCAGATATCTTCAACATGAGGCCCCCCCCCCCCCCCCCTCCCATGATCTTAGCCGTGAAACAGTCGATCACTGCGAAAATTTGCATGCATGTTAAGTAGAGTGTATAGAATACTATTGTAATTCTTATTTTTTGAAAAATTTACTCATTTGCATATTTGTGGTAATTTATGCAATTAAGGTCATAAAATGTACATGTTTACCCATAAATCATATATCCTTTATATTTAAATTGTCCTTTTCACTGCATATACTCTTTAGACCATTTGAAATAATAATACAACAAATACATTTGGAAGAGCCAGGTTATTCCTTATGTTATCTATTGTTTTGGTGATTTCTTATGTATCTCTTTGTTTTCGTAACTTATGTATTTCATTAATTTTGTTGTTTTATTTCATTTCTAACTATAATTCAACTATTGCGACCCCCCCCAAAAAAACACCTAAACTATGAACAAGACCCGATAAAAAATGTTTTATCTCTTTTTTTGTTGGAAAATGATATTTCCATATGTTTTGTACACAAATCACGAAAATGAGCGATTTTCGGGCTGACATGCAAAGACAAAGGGTCATGTGACTTTATAATGGTATGTCCGATTTAGAGGTCTATTACTGCTCATTTCACAAGTGAACTTAAAAGAAAAGTTAAAAGGTAAGTTAATTGAGCTCTCGAAACAACCCTTCTGATATAGTGAAGTCACATTAGTTATAAATATATTATAGTGAGCTGTCAGAGTTGAATAATGCATGTTGATTTGGCTACTACTACACATCTATACTTCTTACTGCTTGAATAGGTTGCTGTTCATCATTCGAGAATTCTGGAGTTGAATGAAGATCCCTTTGTGGTGTGGACTGAGACTCTTTATCCATCAATATATCCACCAGGGGCCATGTACGTGAATCTTCCGTTCCTGATAAAAAAACATGTGAATTGAAGGTCTTACATTTACATTCAAAAGAAGCATATAAAGCAGTCTAGATTCTGCATATTAAACTCTAACCATAAATGCTTGCATAAAGGAATTGGAAAGTTTCATACATAATTATAACTGAATACATGGATTAATTGGAACCCTATGCATTTCCTTTTTTTGATGTGTACATATTTACAGAAATGGGAGATGCTGGTAATGATTTACACACTCCTTTTATTTTCATAGGAAAATTATGCATCTTTGTTCTTCTTGCCTATATTGTTGATCATGATACTTGAAAGAAGCTTTTGCAACAGGTGAACAGTTGTCCATTAGTTTATTGTGGAAACAAATATCTAGATATGTAGAGAAGATTTGGTATTTTGGTTCATTCCTTCATTTCAAGAAGTACATGTACAAACAACAATTCATATCCCCCGATCCCCAATTCTAAATTACTGCCAAAAACAAAAACAAAGCACTTGAGAAACTCACAGACCTGTAGAAAATTTAAAGGAACCCATTTCAAATTTCAAAATGTTGTTGGTGCAATATTATTGAATATGCTTTCTTGAAAACTTTCTGACAAAAAATTGTCCTTCATGTTCATTTTAAATGAAATAGAAAAATAGGAAATTGGCATCTCACTAGTATGAATTATAATGCAATGAAAAAAGCTACACTTTAACGAAAAATAAACGGGTTTCCTTGCATAATTTAATTACTAGGACACTGCAAAGGGTTACATTTCACAGATAGGACATACGTGCCATATTCATAATTCCTGCTAAGTTCTAAAGAATTTGATGTTGGCTGCGAAAGGGACATACCGGTAGTATCTTTAACCAGTAGTGTATATTTCAAGGAGGTATATTTTAACTGCCTGTTCTAACTTAATTCAAAATTTGATTTTCAAAAAATAGCTACCCCTAAAAAACATATAACCAAATGCTTAGCTGGAATATGGCTCCATGAACACATAAATTCCTTAATAAAGAAATCTCCAGTATAGTCACAGGGCTATCTATTTTTGTTGTTCCTTATTACTACTTACCATCTTCTGCTTCGAAAGAATGGAGCAGCTCCATCCATTCTTGATGTTCCGAGTCATTGAGGTACGGTAGGTACTTGGCCATGTCTCTATAGAGGTTGTTGACGTGGAGTTCCTCCATCTTTCTGCAGACAACATCTGGTGTACCGGAGGGATGTTCCGAGAGGATGTGGCTTGAACCAGTCGTTGCTTGCCATGCAGAGCTGTTGCTCCATTTTTTGGTCTGGATTATGGCCTTTCCCTCGACTTTGGTGATCTTAAATTGGTGTGGAAGGCTATGGTGTGATGGTTTGTTTAATTGTGTCTGTAGCCAGTCCCTGATGTTGAAGATGGTTTCGATTCGTTCCGCAGTGGTATTCGGCTTGTTGAATGATTTTGGAATGTGGTGTAGTAGTGAAGACAGCGTAGGAATGTTATGCTTAGATGTATATGTGGATATGCGGCTAAATAGCTGATCGATGTCTTCGTGTGTGTGCCCCTTCATCAAAAAGCACAGTTTTACCTGTAATGATATAAACAAGAGAAGTAAAATAAACAATGTTACAACAACTACTACTAGTATTATTATTTGATATTTTGCAGTACCTCTGCCTGAGAACTATGTCAGTGAAACCCTCAGGTCTCTCCTTCTAGTATAATTGATTGGGGTTTACAGTTGTGCAAGGTGGCTAGGGATATCTTCCTACTCCTATACAAATCTATAGTATAGGGTAATGGGGTTGTCTCCTCGTACACAGGACCACTATTATTGTTTTTTTTAATCCTATATATGTTGGAATTAATGGCAAACATGGTATTTTTTTAATCTTCTTATATACAGAATATATACATGTATATAAAGTAGACAAGTAAATCAGAAATTCTGTAAACACCGATAACAAGTTTTTCAAATTTTCGACCATAGGCCATCAGGAATGATATTTACATGTATTAAAATACCCACAAAGAGCTAGAAGCATAAAAAAGCTCCATGGATACGAGCGCAACCAGAAACCCGCAAGAGAATGAGAGAGGGAGAGGAGGGGGAGAGCGGGGGTGAAATAGAGAATGACATCATAAATATATATATATATAAGGGAGGGACATCACAATTATGACCTTCAACCTTATATAAAACAAACAAATATTGGGAGCAGCATCAACCAAATCAATAGGCTTTAGATTTTACTAAGATACACTTCCATACAAGATTGAAAGAATTCTGTCTAGAAATGTTACTGCTACATCGGCTGCTCAATCCAAAGGTAGCTTTTGCATTGATAACTCTGGATTGTACTGATGGAAAGCAAATTAACCCATTGGCTATGATAGTTAGAGACATCATTAGCCAATGGGATAACAAATTTTATGTCCAGATTGATGCCAACTATTACTTCAATTGGATTAGTCCTCTATATTTACTTTTACCTTTTTGAACACGTCGAGTTCCACTAGAAGAGCACAGAGTCCAAGGAGACACTGATTCTTGTTCTCCCTCCCACAGTTATCCATTTGAAGGTATAATGTGTCTGGTAGCGTGGTGGAATATTTATGAAGAACCTGGAGAAGGATCGTTGCGGTAAGGTTCGAATCATGTGGGTATTCTTTGTTGTCAAGGAACATGTGTTGTCCCCTCCCATGCACTATCGTTCCGGTGATGTGTGTTGGAAGTTTCCATGCTGATGATACTGATTTGGATGTTCTGTAAAATTTGGGAATACTTGTTGATTTCTGGTCCATTCCATCAATAATGATGCTGATATACTTGTCTGGATGTTGTCTTGCTTTTTGTGCATGTTTGTAGTATTTCATTCTCTCAGTTCTGTATAAATGATACAAAAATAAAAATATGTAACTAAATATGACATGGATGAAAAGACATATTTTCGAGGAATATGATTTTACAGATACTAAATGGTAAAGAACATTGGAGAGTGCATTAAATGAAAGCTTACATGACATTTTGATACATGTATATAACATGATCATACATGTAAATGAGAGTGTAAATGAAATTTGAAAGTATTAGGGGTCATAAAACTATTACTACTGCTACAATGTACTTCTTCCACAACTCCGTTTTCCTTGAGAGTTCACCCTAATATCATTTGCTTTAAATAAATATATTAAAATCAAACAAGCATAGCATTTAAAATTTCACAAAAATCAGATGTATAACTAAGAAAGTGATGGCATTTTAAAGTTTTACATTGTTTCATAAAACTGTGATATGCATAACATGAGCTCGTTCCGCCCCATATCTGCTGGAGCTTTTTTGTTGTGAAAAGCGTGAATCCTCTGTAATATGGTGATTGCAAATGACCAGCAAATAATGAACCTCGACCAATAAATAAATATTGAGAAGAGGAAGATCAAGAGATGTCGTGGAAGGATAATTATGGTAACATGGGCAGCTCTACGGGGGGGTTAGGGGGTTTAACCCCCCCCCCCCCCTTGAAGAGCCCCGTGGACAAAAAATTAATTTGAGACCTGTTTTCTTTGTATCACAATTAGTTAAAATAAAGATGATTTTACATGTTCCATGATGAGTCAAACCATGCTTAACATTATTGGAGCAAAAAAATGGGAATATTTGAAATTTCATATAATAAAGTACATAGGTAAGGAAAGTGAGTATGTCACATCATCAGCTCACTCATTTGCATACCGCCTATGATATGCACATCATCATTGTACAATATATTTAAAACATCCGATTTTGATGAAATTTTCACTTCTATGCTTGTTTGATTTTACTCTATTCACAAATCCAGATCAACTTGATATTAGGATTTACTTGGCCTTTTTATAATGGGGTATTTTACAGCTTCAATTGCCATTTAGGGTACTTAATCAATTCAGTACTCTACATTTAGAGTATAAATTGTAGGTTAGAAGAATCCTAAATCCTAATCAGGCTGGGGGGGGGGGGGGGGGGGGGGAGAGTAGGGGGTGAATCCACAACTTTTCATGCGATATGTCCCCAGCGCTCAAAGGAGTCATACAAAAAGTATGAAACATATTTACACAATTTAATGACAAAATAAGAGATGTATGCAGGAATGTACATCAATAGGAATCAACTTGTATTTGCATTCAAGTATGGATATGATGTACTTTTGAAGGAATTTAAAAGGTTCTTACTTTTGCAGTGTAAGATGATCCTCTCTTTGTTGATGGAGTGCTTGCCTCGCTTCTTTTTCATTAGTTTTTTCGATGCTTTGCTTCAGCTGAGTACAGACATCGCATTTTGAAAATCTATTCACCTGACATAAATAAAGACCATAGAAAATATCATGAGTAATTCATCGTGTTCAAAAATAAAAATTCTTTTACAACTAGACTCTTGTTTGTTTGTATGATGTTTTCACCTTTTTATTTTAAAATCGCTACATCTTAGACATACCATTGACGAATGCATATAATGTAGTGTTTTTTAAACATAAGATATCAAGACAATGAAAGAAAAATGAGCAGGTAAGAAGGTATAATTTGTTCAACTATCACAAGATATTATACAGAAATTAACGTTGAAACCTTTGGCCATTAAGCCCTAAATTGAATGAGATAACATGCCTTCCCTAAGAACATAAAACACTTTTAACAAACTTTGTCAAAACGGTTTTTAGAAATCCCTGGGAATATATTCAGACAGATGGAAGGTAGAATGGATAACCACAGGCAGCATTTTTAATGAATCGATCCCCTTTGTGTTATATTCAAAAACAAATTATTAAGCAGATGCAGTAATTTCTCATACATATAAAATTGGCGTTGGACTCTTTTCATTCTGTTCTACAATTTTTTACATAATAGCAGTGAAGGGATGTTCCTTTGTCTACCTGAGGAACTGTATATTTTGTCCGCTTTCTTTGTCCGTCATATTCATAGTGAATACTGCCACATCCATGGCTTCACAATGATAATATGCAGAAATTGTAAGAAGATGCAAGAAACAATATCTGATATTGAACATTTCTAATCAAAAGCTAATTCTGCATTAGGAATAAATTATGATTACCTTTGGAATGGTCACATGTGACATTTCCTTCCTCCACATGCGGAAGAAATGGACTTTGCTGCAAACGTGCTCCCCATGATCCTCCATTTCTTCTTTCATTGTCTGATACACGCTGGCTCGTGTTAGGCAGGATGGCAAGTGTATTTTCATTTGTCCTGGCATTTTGTCGCCAAATCTGCGACAAAACATATCCAGCCACATCAATGCTGCAGCCACTGCTTTTGACTGCATTCCTCGTCTGTGATGATTTGGGGATATGTATGCCTTTAGTCCACCTGTAACATAGAGGTATAAGTATTGGGGTTACTTCCACTAGTACTATTACTTCTACTACTACTACTAATACTAATAACAAATATTGATTTGTCAAGCACATCAACGAGGTTGGAATCTGTGACCTCCCAGTTTGGTCTATCAAGACATGTTCTAGAATCTTAGCAATCCAATCAATCAATTGCCACTAAATGGACGTGCATTTATTATTCCCACTTAGCAAAAAATTGAAATTGATAACGCATGCTCGATATCTGCTTTCACAACATTTCATTTTGCTCAATATTGCTTTAATGAATGTGCATCAACATACGATTTGTGATGAAATGGGTGTAGTTTTATATCAATGGTTTGTCTGATTTTTCTGCTTCTATTGAAAGTAAGTTATTTTTGGAGTGGACTTGGACTTTAATGCTTGTTTAATCATATGCACTAACAAACATGAATTGTTTTTTATATTAACTACCTGTCTTTGCTAACCTAGAGAATTCTATTTATAGAAAAATATGCAGATACATGCATCTTATACTGTATATTTACCTTGGAAATGAGACTGGATCTGCCAAAGCCTTGTTCTGGGGATTCCTAAGGCTAAACGCCAACCACGCTGACAAACTTCTGTCACCCCAATACTGAAGCGGACTTGAACTGTATTCCCAGACTCTTCATGATGTTCGAGGAGGTACTGCAAGATCCACTGCCTTTGCTCACATTTGGATTTCTCCTGGAAGGCATTTCTGCTGTATGCTACCTCTTTTCGTGACACCTTGTGCAGGCAGTAATTTCTGCAGCATTTCATTCGTAGAATAGATGATAGCTCCCGACTGGAATTGTTTTCCTCTACAATTTGGAAATAGAGCATAACAGAGGTTAGCACTTTTTCTCACTTGTCATCACCATTGCCAATAAACAAATACACGGTTTATTGTTGCAAATCTCACTGTTCTCACCTCTTTCAATTGTAAAAGTAGAGATAGCACTACATGCAAAAATAGTAGGTATAAAGCATTTATACATCACATGTGCAGGAGCTTAAAGAGAATTAAGGTTGAGTTCTGGGAAGAGGTGAATACGAGCGTTATCATTGTATTATGCAAGTGTGGAAGAACATCAGATAAAAAGTGTTCCCTGAAAAAGCATGGCTCTTCAAATGCCTTAATATTCTAAATGTGGCATGTAACATCATAAAATTTGGGACAGATTTTTATGCCACATGGTCGTGTGTAGTTCCATATACATCTTTCTGTGTACAGTGCTTGTAACTTTACCAAGACTGGGCCAAATTTCTTATCATTCTGATGATTCCAGAACCTTGCAGTACAACACCAATACTTATATGCTAGATGATCAACCTTTTCTGATCGATTCCACAACGTTTCTTTCACAATGCAATCACTTGACCAGAACTCAACTTTATCTTTAACATTTAAACATTTGTTTTGTTCAATATTTCTGACTCTCTACCCTAAAACGACCAATACGTCACTATGGGAATTGTGATGTAAAAAGCCAAAACAGAGTAGAGTTGATTTTTTTAAAAGGTAATAATTCAATCCTAAGTATTATCTGTACAAAAATTGAGGGTCATATACATGTACATGTTTTTATTTTTCTTTGGTTTAAAATGGTGTGCCCAGACTCATTATTAGGCAGAAACTCAGATACTCTAAATCTTATTCATCAAGATGGCTTAAATTAATGACCATAACTCAAAGAAAGGTGATGTTAGACTCTCAAACTTTGATGCATCAAAGGATTCTAGGTATTCAAATGTTGTGTAAGTTTTATTAGCTAGAGTCATTCACAATGGTAGCCAAGGATGTTTAATTTAATATTTTTTTGCTGTATGTCAACGGTCCAACCCTTTGAGACTTTTTTTCCCTTATTCTGAAGAAAAAAAAACCAGCCTGTCTGACTTTCTCACTTTTATTTCAAAGAGTTTTCTTCATTAAGACATAGCAAGACACATCATTTTAAAGCTAAGAATCTGTTCCTTACAACTCAGTTAAAAACAAGAAAAATGAAATTACTGGCTTATTGTTTGTTTTGTGGTGGATGGCCAAATTTGCATTCTTCAAATAAATCCTATAAAACAGACATAAAAACTTACTTCTTCTCTTAACACTGGATGAAACAATACTGGCGCAAGATGAATCTGAACTGCCATCAATAAAATGAACACGAGTGCGTTTCCTCCCACGTAGAGCTGCAAAAAACAGAAAACAATTAAATTGCAGTACTGCTAAAGTTAAGTATATCAACTTTGGGGTTTTGGTTAACTATAAGGAAATTGCATTCCACGTCCAGTTAAAATTTTCTCTAGGAAGGTTTTTTTTGTTTTGTTACACAACCAAGTACTTTCCCTATTTAGTGTCAAAGTCACATCTTATTTGCAAAATTTAATTTCCTCACCCTCGTTCTTCTCCTTGTTACAATTAAAATACATGGATCTATCCCTGAAGTTTGTCACATCAGGATAGCTAGCTTAGACAGAAAGGATTAGAATTTCATCACAACACTGATTTATATTTAAATATTCAATAAGTTTTTCTTCAGACATCACTGGTCAAAATGTTGTGTATATTATGCTGCTATGTCGCTTCCAATAACCATAAACTGCTTACCAAAGAATTGTGAATTAAAAAAATGAACCTTTAACTATATTCCAACTGGGCTTCTCAAACAGCATTTGAATGGGGTGAGGGTCAATTTGAACCCCCCTAAAGATCTTCTGCCATAAAAGGACAGATCGGTATAAAAAAAATTAAAAATCCACAATAAAATAATAAATATTATTGTTTGAAAAAAGAACGTTTCTCCATGAGATGTATATCTTCGGTAATTTAAGGTGTAAATTGTTTCTGCAAAAAAAAAAAAAAAAAAAATTGTTATTCATTATTAAAATTAAGCAAATATGATGCATATTTTCATTCGGATAAGGTGAATTGAGGCCAATTTTGTTGTAGGAATTTTGAGAAAATCGTTTTGAAACATCATAATATGTGCAAAGTTGCCAAGCTCAAATTCATTCTTATGTATTTTTAATTTCTTATTCATTATATTTTTTTCATTCCCTATACTTATATTATAACATAATGTGCCACAACTCCACTACCCTTTGTATAATTATTGCAAACTTGGTGTCAAAAGATGTGTGAAGCTTCAAGGAAAAAATCGCGATACGCAGAAAATCCAACCTTAACCCTATATAGCTGGGGGTGGGGGGGGGGGGGCAAGCCACATTTTCACATTCTACATTTTTCGCGATAATTTTTTAAGGCAAACAAAATATTGCGCTTAAATTTTATAACTTTTTTCTTTCCAGTGTTGCGCATCTTTTGAAACAAATTTTTGGAAAATCAGACCTACCATTACAAAGTCATGTGACCTTTTGACTTTGGATGTCAGCCCGAAAATTGCTAATTTTTGTACGAAACATATGGAAATATCATGTTACCAAAAAGAAATAAAACATTGGTTATTTGTTCTTGTTTCATAGTCTAGTTTCTATTTTAATTTTTGTTTCCCTTTTTTGCATTTTGGACTGTCCTCACCCCCCCCCCCCCCCCCCCCTTGCTACATGTACATGCCCGGCACATACATGTAGTCAACCGTTTGTACTACTTTAAATTACCTGTAGCATCCTGTAAATCAATCTCTGATATAGCTCCTCCTTCAGGGTCACTACCTAAAAGAATTAATGTTTAAAACTTCGATCACATTCAAGATAATATAATTTCAACTGTACATTTAAAAATTGTGCCAAATAGTAACTTGGAGACCATTCAGCAAATACCTTTCTTTAGTTCTCCCCTAATTAAAAAAGATAACAAATTTATGAGTCCAACTTTGCAAAATGTATAAAACACAAAAATCTGACACAAATCAGGCAGATTGGAGGTCAATACAGGATGGCCGCAATGACAGATTCTGCCTAGAGGGTTAACATTTCATTCTACTATATAGTAATCATCAATCAGTGATAGGAGTCTACTTTATATACAGCCTTCTCATTTGAATTGGGATTTAAACCCCCAAAATAACAAATTAATTCAATAAGGCCATTGTTGAGATACATACCTACATGTACATGTATATATATCTTAATACCTACAGTATGTGTAAGCCAAATATCTACAATATATGAAAATAATGATTTCAATATTATAAAATAAGTGTCGATGTAAAAGTGTCTACTTTTTTCTGATACTCCTGAACACGTATAAGCAACCTTTAGTACATCCATGCATCCTCCAAACTATACATATACACACACACTGTTTTGTTTTCATTTATGCCACTTCATTACTGGGGTATCATTTGAAATAAACAAAGTTTAAAGGTTTACCTAGTACTTTGTAAGTAACATCGACTTCAGAAAGGTAACAATCTGACTCGCTAATGGGCAAATCTACTTCTGTGAATGAGCAATCTCCAGAGTTAGGTTCATCTAAACAGAAGAGAAAAAATAAGGAGAAGCAATTTTAAAAAAAGTTCCATCAAAATCTGTTAGAAAATGAGAGAATTATATATGGCAGTTTGAAAAGTCTCTATTTACTTTCTATGGCAAGTCTTGCGCATCTTTTGAAACAAATTTTTGGAAAATCAGACCTACCATTACAAAGTCATGTGACCTTTTGACTTTGGATGTCAGCCCGAAAATTGCTAATTTTTGTACGAAACATATGGAAATATCATGTTACCAAAAAAGAAATAAAACATTGGTTATTTGTTCTTGTTTCATAGTCTAGTTTCTATTTTAATTTTTGTTTCCCTTTTTTGCATTTTGGACTGTCCTCACCCCCCCCCCCCCCCTTGCTACATGTACATGCCCGGCACATAGTCAACCGTTTGTACTACTTTAAATTACCTGTAGCATCCTGTAAATCAATCTCTGATATAGCTCCTCCTTCAGGGTCACTACCTAAAAGAATTAATGTTTAAAACTTTGATCACATTCAAGATAATATAATTTCAACTGTACATTTAAAAATTGTGCCAAATAGTACCTTGGAGACCATTCAGCAAATACCTTTATTTAGTTCTCCCCTAATTCAAAAAGATAACAAATTTATGAGTCCAACTTTGCAAAATGTATAAGGGTGCGTTCAAGCGATTTTTAGAAGCTAGAATCACATACATGAATCACAAATCAAAACGCCGTTACAAAACAAGGTCACTGCGGGAAAGCGTTCAAGCGACTTTCCATTAACGCTCATTTCGAGCCCAGCCACTGCGCATCACAATGCCCAGTTTGACCCAGGAAGTATAGGTCAACTTCGGTGCGCGCTTTCTAGAATTGTTTACGGCGACAGTCGACTGCTGTTTTGAGCATAATCGCAATAATAAAACAAAGATTGAGATAGTGATAGAAGGAAGAAACAAAGAATAAAATAAGGAAAGACAGAAAGAGAAAGTCGATAGAATGATTAAAACAAAGAATAACATAAGGAAAGGTGATAGAAGGAAAAAACAATGACAGATTCTGCCTAGAGGGTTAACATTTCATTCTACTATATAGTAATCATCAATCAGTGATAGGAGTCTTATACTTTATATACAGCCTTCTCAATTGAATTGGGATTTAAACCCCCAAAATAACAAATTAATTCAATAAGGCCATTGTTGAGATACATACCTACATGTACATGTATATGTCTGAATACCTATGTGTAAGTCAAATATCTACGATATATGAAAATAATGATTTCAATATTATAAAATAAGTGTTGATGTAAAAGTGTCTACTTTTTTCTGATACTCCTGAACATGTACATGCACAGTACATTACACACAGTGCCACTTGTAAATACATGTACATGTAAGTACCAGTAAGCAACCATTAGTACATCCATGCATCCTCCAAACTACAGTATACATGTACACACACACTTTTTTGTTTTCATTTATGCCACTTCATTACTGGGGTATCATTTGAAATAAACAAAGTTTAAAGGTTTACCTGGTACATGTACTTTGAAAGTAACATCGACTTCAGAAAGGTAACAATCTGACTCGCTAATGGGCAAATCTACTTCTGTGAATGAGCAATCTACAGAGTTAGGTTCATCTAAACAGAAGAAAAATAAAATAGTAAAGTAGATATTATTAAATAGTAATCATCAATCAGTGGTAAGAGTCTTATACCAATTACCATATATACAGCCTTCTCCATTGAATTGTGATTTAAACCCCCAAAATAATAATTTAATAGCACTAACATCATCAACATCTGTGACCCACCACTTCAAAAACCTACATAATTAATATTTCTTCTAAAAAAATACATTTTCTGAAAAAAAAGAGATTCTCAGCTTTCAAATGGTATATTACTTGTCTCAAGTCCTCAATGGTAACATCCTTCAATATCACATAATGTAACTATCAATCAATATATCTCAAGTTCAGAGAAAAGGCCATTGAAGTTTTGAACCAGACTAGTCTAATAGCTCTCTTTATGCGACCAAGCTAAACAGGACATTCATATCATGTCCATAGCAACTGGTATGAAGGGATTATCAGACAAAGTTAAATTTTTTCTCACCCCAAAAGTGGGACATATTCTTTACTTCCATTGAAAATCAATGTGATGACCTTGTGTCGACTTTTTTCTGATACTCCTGAACACGTACATGCACAGTACATTACACACAGTGCCACTTGTAAATACATGTACATGTAAGTACCAGTAAGCAACCATTAGTACATCCATGCATCCTCCAAACTATGTACACACACACTTTTTTGTTTTCATTTATGCCACTTCATAACTGGGGTATCATTTGAAATAAACAAAGTTTAAAGGTTTACCTGGTACTTTGAAAGTAACATCGACTTCAGAAAGGTAACAATCTGACTCGCTAATGGGCAAATCTACTTCTGTGAATGAGCAATCTACAGAGTTAGGTTCATCTAAACAGAAGAAAAAAAAGATAGTAAAGTAGATATTATTAAATATTATTAAATAGTAATCATCAATCAGTGGTAAGAGTCTTATACCAATTACCATATATACAGCCTTCTCCATTGAATTGTGATTTAAACCCCCCAAATAATAATTTAATAGCACTAACATCATCAACATCTGTGACCAACCACTTTAAAACCTACATAATTAATATTTCTTCTAAAAAAATACCTTTTCTGAAAAAAAAAGAGATTCTCAGCTTTCAAATGGTATATTACTTGTCTCAAGTCCTCAATGGTAACATCCTTCAATATCACATAATGTAACTATCAATCAATATATCTCAAGTTCAGAGAAAAGGCCATTGAAGTTTTGAACCAGACTAGTCTAATAGCTCTCTTTATATGCGACCAAGCTAAACAGGACATTCATATCATGTCCATAGCAACTGGTATGAAGGGATTATCAGACAAAGTTAAATTTTTTCTCACCCCAAGAGTGGGACATATTCTTTACTTCCATTGAAAATCAATGTGATAACCTTGTGGGTACGGTAAGTGGCTTAGTGGGCATTGGCTTATACTAAAGCTCTCAAATACTCACTTACTCCAATCTAAGGTGAAAATAAGGTGTCATTTTAAACTGCTTAAAAAATATATATTTCTGACTCAAGAAGTTAGGGATTGGTAGAATAATGATGAAACTATCCATTTCTATAAAAATCAGAAAATTGAATGATCAATTTGGATGAATCCTAAATGTTCCTATTAAGCGCGTATTCAAATATTACATTTCATTAAATTTTGGGAGAACTAAGGTGTAAATTTCAAATCTTTTTGAAAATTACATTTTTTTTTTTTTTTTAATCATTCCTTGTCGGTTCCTTTCCTTCCTACATTTTCGATAAGTTTTCATTTTTCTCTTTCATTTTTGTTTCCCTTTTTTTGCATTTTGGACTGTCCTCACCCCCCCCCCCCCCCCTTGCTACATGTACATGCCCGGCACATAGTCAACCGTTTGTACTACTTTAAATTACCTGTAGCATTCTGTAAATCAATCTCTGATATAGCTCCTCCTTCAGGGTCTCTACCTAAAAGAATTAATGTTTAAAACTTCGATCACATTCAAGATAATATAATTTCAACTGTACATTTAAAAATTGTGCCAAATAGTAACTTGGAGACCATTCAGCAAATATCTTTCTTTAGTTCTCCCCTAATTAAAAAAGATAACAAATTTATGAGTCCAACTTTGCAAAATGTATTACCGGTAAACACAAAAATCTGACACAAATCAGGCAGATTGGAGGTCAATACAGGATGGCCGCAATGACAGATTCTGCCTAGAGGGTTAACATTTCATTCTACTATATAGTAATCATCAATCAGTGATAGGAGTCTTATACTTTATATACAGCCTTCTCAATTGAATTGGGATTTAAACCCCAAAATAACAAATTAATTCAATAAGGCCATTGTTGAGATACATACCTACATGTACATGTATATATATCTTAATACCTACGGTATGGTAAGCCAAATATCTACGATATATGAAAATAATGATTTCAATATTATAAAATAAGTGTTGATGTAAAAGTGTCTACTTTTTTCTGATACTCCTGAACACGTATAAGCAACCTTTAGTACATCCATGCATCCTCCAAACTATACATGTACACACACACTGTTTTGTTTTCATTTATGCCACTTCATTACTGGGGTACCATTTGAAATAAACAAAGTTTAAAGGTTTACCTAGTACTTTGTAAGTAACATCGACTTCAGAAAGGTAACAATCTGACTCGCTAATGGGCAAATCTACTTCTGTGAATGAGCAATCTCCAGAGTTAGGTTCATCTAAACAGAAGAGAAAAAGATAAGGAGAAGCAATTAAAAAAAAGTTCCATCAAAATCTGTTAGAAAATGAGAGAATTACATGTATATATGGCAGTTTGAAAAGTCTCTATTTACTTTCTATGGCAATTAACAAATTGGCAATATTACTTCAAAATGGCAAGCTTTTGTGGACTTGTACTAAATTTTTGACCATATTAGAGGTGTCGTGGATGAGTGGATACGTCGCCGGACTGACGATCACAAGGTACGCGGTTCGAGTCACGCCGCGGCACTAATGTCCTTTGGCAAGACATTGATCTACATTTGCCACACTCCACCTAGGTGTTAAATGGGTACCGGTAGGAAGGAATTCCTTAAAATGCTGTGAGCGTTGATATCGGCAGCCTAGCATAGCCGGTAATGTTGGAGCGCCTTGAGGACCTTTGCAAGGTCAATACGTGCCTATATAAGAATCCAATATTATTATTATTATTATTATCTCGCAAATTGCAGCATGTCTCCTTCTTTGCTCAAGACATATCATGGGAAAATATATTTTACACAACAAATGTTGAGTTCACAAAGAGTAAAGCCACAACTTGAGAGATAATTGAGAAAATCTGAAAATTGTGGTACCAAACATCCTGGCTCTGTTTAAATTATATAGATGCATACTAGGTGAGGTTTACGATGGAAAAGAGGCATAAGGTGAGACTCTAGATATTTTCAAACAGGAAACATGAGTTACCCCTCTCCCTAGGGATGGGGGGGGGGACAAGGGGCAGCACCCCAAACTACCCTTTGATATTTATAATTTTCTTTATTTTAAATAACGTGTGATCTGATGGTTACTTTATTTACTAGGAATTATTCTTAAAGCTAGTTTTTTTTTTGGGTAAAGATTTAAAAAAACAATTAACGGTATATCAGACTCTAATAATACATTAAAATCCTACGAACAGTTAGTGATTGATACATCAATTTTTTTATTACTGGTAATGGAATATTCACAAAAAATTGAATTTCGACCATTAGATCAGATTTAGCGCCCTCTCTCAGCGTTGTTATTATTTTCCTTAATATAAGCCTTCAGAACAATTGTCTTATTCATGTAGATTTTGCTTGTATGTTATAAAGCTAGGTACAGATTGTATCCTAAAAATTTCCTTTCAATTAATGCTTGTGATATGGTTTTATAATTTATACCAACAAAAAAACAAGTGAAACGCTCTTTGCGGTCTTGCCAGCATTACGCAATTTGATCTGATGAAATATTGGTTGGGACATTATTTATAGGCAGGATGGCTCATTTGCAGGCCTCCCAAAATGATATCCTCTGAATATAATCAGCATTTGGAAGTGAATAATATGTTGACTAAGAATCAATATTTGAATATTCAAATAATTTTCCCAGGCTTGGTACATACAGTACATGTACATTTATAGTTGTACATGTATACCATGATAGAACAGACCTCACATTACATTATTTTCATGTTTACCAATACGGATCGGAATATAACCACTAATTAATTGGCACCATTCATATCGGGTTGCATAACAAACTACTTTAGTACTTTGCACAATCACCTGCAATACAGTTTTACATGACCTAAAATTAATGTTGATCCTAGAGGCAATATTGCCATAGAGACAATGCCATACACAATTTGTACCAAGATTGATATTGATGACTTTCATGAAATATGAACAAATACTAAAAATTCATTTATTAATTCTCATACCCGTATTAAGTTTTGAAGAAAAAAAAATCAAAGGCTACGGACCTCAAAAGACGTTTGACCTTGACTTAGTGACATGGAATTGTGTCACATGATTTGTGACTTAACAACCCTTGGGAAGAAGTTTCATGAATTTGAACAAACTTTTGACATGTTAAAATTCAAAATCTTGATGTTGATGCCACGATAAAGTCTAAGTTTGCAGACCTGAAATGACCTTTGTCACCTAAATTCTAATACATGATTGGTGATACTCAGAGCTGCCAACTTCTAGAACAGAAAATCAGTAATCACAAGGCTCAAAATCAGTAATTTGGGGAATAAATCAGTAATTTCCTATGCGGTGCTATATGAATCTTTAAAGAATGGCACGCCAACACTGCGCAGGTGGAGGGCATGATTATCTGAATTTTTTTGTGATTTTACTCATACAAAGTTGTAAAATATTGATTTTCAGAATTTCAGGTCATCACAACACATCAATTTTCAATGAAAAAAATTGGCTTCTATTTAGAGAATACTTGATACTTTTCCGTCTTGCTCAGCGAGTGTTGGATGGCCGCCATACAAAGGCATACTGTACAGCACTCGCTACGATAAATTTTTTTTTTCCTTTTTCCTTTTTTTTTTATTTTAGACAACTTTCCGTACTGCCGTAATGATCGTTAATTTCTGTACTAATTACAGGAAATCTGTACTATAGTTGGCAGCTCTGGATACTACTCGATATGTTCAAGTTTCATGGAATAGGAATGTATATTTTCAAAATTATGTTAAATATTCAAAATCTTAAACCTTATCATTTGGTTGCATATGTACATGTACATGTGTGAGATCATCTGATATTCCACTCATGATTTCTGGTGAATTTCAGTGTACTTCTGAAATGAGCGCAATATGTAACAGTTACTTTTTACCAATATGCTAGGACTCTTGAACCCGACCTATTCCCCCAACAGAGCGATTACCACGATCCATACACTCTCTTCGGGCAAACGGAACTCTCATTGGTGTTACACGTTCATTATACGTGTGTAGGCTAGTGAGATGACATCCCTGATTTACATTACCCAGAATTGGCGATATAACAACAATTTTAACTCTGAAAACTTGCGCTCTTTCTCCCTTCCTCTCTCACGCTTATCTCCCCCCCCCCCCCCCTCTATCACCCAGTCAAGGGGAGCTGGGGGGGGGGGGGGGGAGGTTACATTGGACAGTGCTAGTGTTTACTTTAGGCTTACTGCTCTAGAAGTGGTGAAAGTCAAATGGGGGCTTCAATTTTAAACAACAGGTTTTTGTCATGTACAGTATAGAGTACCGAGGCTGTGACGTCATAAAAATCTATTTTTAGAATTTCTAAATGTTTTCTTCATTTTCCAAAAGAGCATCAAAAATAATGACCACATGTCAAAAAACAATTTAATATGTTAAGTATTGGCTGAGATAAAACCATCTGAATAAATATATGTCCTATGGGAACTCAATGTTATATGCTCTGGCTCCTAACCATTAACACCACAGCTAGCATGCTACAGACGCGCTGAATACAAGAAACTCTAACGCACTGTTTTTCAGGGCCTACCAAAACTAGAATTGGACTTTCGGGTCTTTTTGGTTTTGTTTTGTTTCAGGCAAATGTGTTTCAAATCAAGACTCTTAACTTCAGATGTTCAACACATTCATTACATTGTTGAGAACATAGACCTAGCACAACTGTACACAGCATGAACAAAAGAAAAAAATCAATACCCTCCTGGGCACAACTTCCTGCCTTGCTATTGTCTCGTAATTAGAAGGTGTATCAGCCTTTCTGACCCAGTTTGCAGTATTTAAAGATTTTGTTCTGTAACTTCTGTTTAGCTTCTGTAATATTAAAATGCAGCAAAACTACAACATAAAAAACTAACTATTAAACTATCAGGTGGGAAATGTGGATTAGCTAAGAAAAAGAAAGAATGGAATGAACTGGGCATCTTTCTGACTTCATTATTGTTTTCTTTTCTTTGTTTTATGTTTAAATGTTTGTTATAAATTCATATTATGTTTTAATTGATTTGTATATATATCATGTTTTTTATTGTGAATTTGAATATTTGACTTATTAAGTCTTATTTCCTCTATATTTGAACCGTTCACACTTAAAATTGTAGCCAACGATACCGCTTCGCACCTGAGCACAGATCGATAGGTGAAATCAATTGGAATTATGAATGATATAGACAATAAGCAGGAAAGTGTACCGTCCATGTTTGCAGTATACATGTAGCTTTCTTGTCATGGTGGTTTTGCAATGGTTTTGCAATTTTTACTTTGGGGGGGGGGGGTGCTTTGCTACCATGGAAAATCGGCAAAGACCTCCAAAATTCTTCTCTGGTTATACAATGAAGCAAATCTTAAGTGGGTAGGAGTGGATTTTTGAAGATTTGAAGCAGTTTATGACTCCATGCTGATGTTTTCTATAAGTGAACAATCCAATGCTAATAACGATATAAATATATATTATTACTATTACTTTCTGGTCTGTTTGGTTTTGTTTCTGGCAAATGTGTTTCAAATCAAGACTCTTAACTTCAGATGTTCAACACATTCATTACATTGTTGAGAACATAGACCTAGCACAACTGTACACAGCATGAACAAAAGAAAAAAAATCAATACCCTCCTGGGCACAACTTCCTCCCTTGCTATTGTCTCGTAATTAGAAGGTGTATCAGCCTTTCTGACCCAGTTTGCAGTATTTAAAGCTATTGATCTGTTTAGCTTCTGTAATATTAAAATGCAGCAAAACCACAACATAAAAAACTAACAATTAAACTATCTGGTTGGAAATGTGGATTAGCTAAGAAAAAGAAAGAATGGAATGAACTGGGCATCTCTCTGACTTCATTATTGTTTTCTTTTCTTTGTTTTATGTTTAAATGTTTGTTATAAATTCATATTATGTTTTAATTGATTTGTATATATATCATGTTTTTTATTGTGAATTTGAATATTTGAATTATTAAGTCTTATTTCCTCTATATTTGAACCGTTCACACTTAAAATTGTAGCCAACGATACCGCTTCGCACCTGAGCACAGATCGATAGGTGAAATCAATTGGAATTATGAATGATTTAGACAATAAGCAGGAAAGTGTACAGTCCATGTTCGCAGTACATATACATGTAGCTTTCTTGTCATGGTGATTTTGCAATGGTTTTGCAATTTTTACTTTGGGGGGGGGGGGGGTGCTTTGCTACCATGGAAAATCAGCAAAGACCTCCAAAATTCTTCTCTG